GGTGTACAGTGCCACTGAGATCTGTACCGCATGCCATAGGTTGCTCGTGCCTGGTGTAGAAAGTGGCAGAGGAGTTGTTGAGAATGAAAAAATTTTGATAGTGGAAATTCTCTATGCAGCAATTACACGACTTGAACAATAGAACTTTGTAATAAGACAAAAAATTATATTGATCTATGGAATTAAAAAGAAAGTATTTGCACGAATAATTGAAGTAAATTAAATAACATACATTGAAAGAAATGTTTAACAAAGCAAAAAAAGGTACTACTTGATTTTCATAGCCTGTTATCAAGTCGGTGCCAAGATTTTCGTAAAGTTTAAATTACTCGCATATAGTTTGTGGCTGCCATATCTCCACGATTGCTTTTATATGGTATCAAAAAGCTTTATCTTTCCAACAAGATTTCCACTACATGAATTCCGAAAGATATGACTCTAGATGACGTCAAGACATAAACTGTTTTTTGTTTTGCCATTCAACAGAACCCCACAATCTCTCCACATTTTGGATGCATGCACCTGTTGTTGGATCAACAAAATTAAATGCATGATTCACAGTTAAATGGCCTTTCAAGCTCGTCTGTTTTACAGGTCGCCAACAATCTGAGAATATTGTTCCACTACATGGTCTACAATGTAAGTGTGCTTACCTCCCAGTTCGGAACCTGAACAAAAAAACACTCGCCACTTTCACAGCATAACCAGTCGAATACCCACTGTTGTGAAAGTACTCTGCCAGCATTGTTTTTTTGCCACAAGAACAAATGCTCATCAATTTTGACTACATTATTGCTTTTATTTCAGCTACTTGTTATTTTACTTATTTACTGTTGGATTTATTTCAGATCTATTATTGCACTGAATATTTGTTATTTATTACTTTATTATTATATCATTTATTGTTTATTATCATTTATTTGTCAAATTCAGCAAATAGAAATTGAAAGTATTTATGATAATCCTTTGTTTGGCCACTGTTTTTTTACATAATTTGGCAGTTTATTGCAGGGGCTATGAAAATCAAGTAGTGCCTAAACAAATAAATATCGAGCTTATATACACATCAATTCCTTTAAGGTCATGCTTCATTCATATTTTTTATTTTATAATTTATATATTTCATCATACTCGATTTAAACTGATGATCTAATATCCCGTAAATGTTAGAGTAGATTTAAAGGTGCCCCTCATATTACCGCAAAGATTTTGTTTCATTTATGGTAACCTGAGTAGTTGAATGTTATGGAACCCTATTATGATATAACTGGTTGTGTGCAGTGAATTTGAATGATGGGAAAAGATTTGTAAGGGCTTGTGGTGTGTTGGTTAGGAAGTCTGTTGCTTGTTTTGCAGTTTACATGTTAAAATGGCTGAATATGGTGAGATTAATTTGAAGTTTCTGCACGATTTGGAATGAAACAAGAAAGCGGCATTAATTGGTGGATGTGTAAATGAAGGTTTACTTAGTATCCATTATAAGTGTCCTGTATGTAGACAGGAAACGCATACGGTTAAATGCTGGAGGATATCGGCATTATGGAGGATATTTTTTACGCTTATCTTCGTAAATTTATGTGGCGATATCAGTATACAGATTCTAGTTCAGATAATTTTAGAAGCTTTTGGATGCTGTTAAGAAATTATGTTTGGTTGAAGACAGGAAAATTTCCAAGGTAAGTGGATATTTCCTTTGAGTAGTGCTAAAATGAATTTTCTTTTTTATGTTATTTGATTATTTGATTTAAAATATAGTTTATTGAGATTATATACTTTTTGTAGGCTGCTCCTTTTACTTTTTAAGTGAAAACAGATTGATGTGTATATGGACAAAATGAAGGGAGTGCGCAATGCCAAGTTTGAGCAATTCTATTTTTTAAGTGATTTTTTTCAAGAGAAAATAGATTGATATGTACATAGATACCGAGTTTGTGCAATTCTTGTTATTTTGCTTTGTGTAGCGCCAAATTTTGCATAAAAATTCGCCACTACACAAAGCTAAAATAACTAGACAATGAATTGCACAATACATGTACCACCAAAAAACACCAATTTTCGCCAAGGGGCACCCCTAAATATATTTTTACTTCCAGTAAAAATCCCAAATCCAGAAATAACAAGTCTAGATCATAAGTGACTGAGTTTATTAACCAGCGAATTGAAGCCGCAGGTACTATATATTAAAAACATTTTTTGAATTAACCATTATAAAAAGAATAAAGGAGGCTTAAATGTTTTTTTAATCCTCTTACTTCCTGAACATTTTCGCTAATCTTTGGGATATGGTAACAGGTAGTTTGGCGACATTTTGGTAAGGCAATAAAGGTTACTACCTAGGACTTTAGCAGTGTACATGGATAAAGTCAAGAGTGTGCGCAATGCCATTTTTTTGCAATTCTGGGATTTTTTTTAAGTAAAAATAGGTTGACGTGTACATGGATCATACCTTGTATGTGCAATTCTTAAAAACGCGGCAAGCAGTTTGCGATTCTGCACTTTCTCCCAATTTCGCACCTAATCTTCGTCATGATTAAGCATTTTTGTTCTATAAAAGTTCTAGTATAAGTGTAATTTGGCTAGCAGATTGTTGGAAAAAATGTTGAGTAAAAAAAAAAAAACATGCCTTTACTTCGTGAAAACAAAATGGCGTTCAAAACAAAACTAGCAGGTTGCTGTAGCAGGGTTGGTCGCCAAAAAATCGCCAAGTTACCATAATCCAAAGATTAACCAACATTTTTCCTGAAGAATGTGAATGCGAAGTGTAAAATTTGGCGGTTTTGTAATTAGATAATGATTTCATTCTGATAACCCTACTTTTCTTGTTAGATAATGAAATTATTCTGACAACTTTTTAGTCTAAAGGGGCTTTGTCCCTGAAGGACTATTGTTTTCGTTTTGCAATTTTGCATTGGTTCACTATAAATGTCTGTTTCACTTTTCAAACCATTGCCACCAAATGTAAGAGTTTTGCATTATACTTGAAGAAATAAAATAAGAAAAAAACTGCACAAATGTATGTATATTTCCCACATTGTGATAAAACAATGGTACATACAGCCATCGAATTTTGAATGAAGTAATCCTACTACAAATATGGGCATCTGGAAGTCCAAATCTGAAATTTGTTTTATTATCGATTGCATATTTTGTAAATCTTTAACGAATTTTTTATTAACAAACTCAAGGATTTCAAAGCGAGCAATGGCAACATTGTACAGAAAAATCATTTTCATCTCCAGCACATGAGACTTCGTATCGGAAATTCTAAAGATATGCTCAATTTAAAACTATTTTGCAATATTGCTCTTGAACTGCATTTTATGGCTTAAGTGCAAAGAACATGATATTTAATAAATAAAAGTATCAGACAAAATCATTTAAAAAAGCCTCTTTGAACGTAATTTAAAACCTGCCTGTTTTATTTATTTTTTTAATTTTATTTATTTATTTTTTGGCTACTTCAAATCAATGGGACTGTCGAATATTTCTCTCTTGATCGCATGTTCCCTCTCCTCCTTTTTGAATGCTATTTGTTATTTTTAAATGGTGAAAATAGAAATCCTCTTCTATTTTCATTATGTTTGAATGTTTTGTTGGAGTTGCACAGTGAAGTTTCAACTGTCTTTGGGTGATCATCAACCATAGCTGGTGCACAGTGCCGAGTTTGCGTAGTTCTCATTTCATTTGTATTTAGGAAAACAGATCACTACACGACAGAGGAAAACAGTGCAAAAAAATTAGATGGATTTCTAAATGAAAGGTGTTTTATGTTTTTAATGTTCCATACAATCCTCATTTAACAATTAAAATATGGATTTTAAATTGCTAATGTGTTACTTTAAAAGGGTGTTTTTTTATATGCTGATAATTATTGTCAATTAACCATAAATATTGACAGTTTGGTGATCTTTTCAAAACAAGTCATCACCTTGCACCCAAATAACTAACTTTTACTAAATGTCAAACTTGTTTGGTTACCCTTTAAAATCAATAAAACTTTACTCCTTATCTACACTAATATAAGATTGCTTGAAAATTTTTAAATTTTACACTGTCATATTTCCCTTTCAATTAAATTCAGTATAATTAGAAGAATCAGATTCTAATTACTTTCATTATGTAGTATATTTTCTAGAATTACGTAAATGCTGCAAGACAAAGAAATTTTGCTCTGTGTTAGGCAGAAAAATTTATTAATACGTCTTGCCACAGCAATAGTTACATGGAGTGCTTTCCAAAGGAGTCTTGATTAGGCTTACATCATACATAAGATGCAGAGTCGTAGCTAGTTAAACCCTAGCTACGACCCTAGCGCCCAGGGACAACTGAAGATTTCGTGCCCCCTACTGCTTGCCAAGGATGGAAAACTTTTAATTCTAAAATGTCGTAACATCAGTTTGTCGCCTCTTGGATTCTGCACCCGGAGACAGATGCCCCCCTCTAGCTACGCCCCTGATAAGATGAAGCATTAACATATTCACATACCAAATATACGGTGTTGCAATGCACAATGGTTTTATCAACTAAGCTACTTTTGGAACTCTCATGTAGCATTGTTACTTACCTTTATGGGTTAATGATAAATGCTTATATGATGAACTATATATCGCACACGCACAAACACAAGAAATATTTATTTAGAAAAACTGGGCGTTTTTCCCCATACTGTCTTATATAATAACATTCATTAATAGGAAATTCACTTTCACTACTAATTTATCGGATAAAAAATCCGATAAATAATCATTTCTCTACACCTGCATTTTTTGATGAATACACACATCGTAGTTACTAAAACAAATGAACCTAAAATAACTAATTCTTTCTGTTCAAAAAGATCTTTATAAAACAAAGCGCTTTCAAAGCAGTCTAAACTGGACAGAATCTCTTGTGTAACTTCTGGAATACAATACATAATATTTGATTCAATGTGATGATTTCACTTATGTCAAAGATTTTCAGTACATTCCCAAACGTAAACAATCTTTGCATATATTTACCTCATCAAGTTCCGATAATAACTGGGAAAGATCGACCTCTTCCTTTTTTCTGTTTCCCCATCGTAAGCCAGAACTCATTTTAGACGCTAAGCTTATACATACCCAGTGACTAGAAAAGTTATATATTAAATTTGTATTTACCTCAAAAAAATACACCCACTTAAAAATTTTTAAAGACCTAAGCCATATTAGCTTTTGTAGCCAGATTCTCATCTGTAAAACCAAAGTGATCGTTAAGTTATATAATGCCCTTGGTGTGAAATAGACATGATTCAACTTTGATAAAAAACTTACTACATATATTAAATCCTAAATTCATTTTAAGCAAGCACATTTAGTCAAAGAATATGATGTTCTTTGCCTTAGTGTCTACAATTCAACGACTGGTGCTAGCTATGCAGAACGACTGGTGCATGACAAAAAAGGAAAGCTAAAGTGCTTACATTAAATAAATTCTTAACGAGCAGACCACAACATTCCGATAAAAAGATGTATTACGGTAATAAATAATATTTGAAGTAAATAGTAGACGATATGACTGCATACTCAAAGCTATAATAATGCTAATCAATGATAATTCTCGTTTATGAAGCCCACCAGAGACCTAGCAGTCTCTGGTTGGTATGAATGATATTGGTAGTTTGAATGAATATTGGTACAGTCAAAAGTCGTTAATTCGGACACCCATAATTCGGAATGATCTATAATCCGGACCTGAAAGCTAAAAACTTTCTGCGCATGCGCCGCGTTGGCACATGCGCACAGGCGTTTTACGCGTGCGCGTAAGCAAAGAATCGCGTAAGACCTTGATTACAGCGCATATGCGTGTACGCAAGTGCAGAATACGTTTTCGCCTGCGCATTTAAAGTATAACGGACGGTGTAAGCTAAAATTATCTAATTATCTATTTCAGTTAATGTTAAAGATTGCGTTGTTCCTTAATCTTCGAATTGGATCCCGCTTATTATTCTTTGCAGACTGTAAGAGCAATTTTATAAAAGTAAACTTGAACTTTTGATTATGTCAAATAGAATTTCCGATGCTGGAACTTCCAAAGGATCTACAAAACGAAAGTACAGTGTCTCGCAAAAGTGATGGGACACTTGTGCTTTACAAAACGAAACTGCAATAAAATAAATTTAAAAAACATGTAAAATTTTTTGTGGGTGTGTTTCATACTTAAATTTAGTAACAATTATTACATAACATACATTTTCTCAAAATATTAAAATATTAATTTAATAAAAATACAATTGTTTAGAACGGAGCAGAAAATGTCTCACGTAAGAATGGGACACTACGTACTATGCAAACAAAAATCGTCTGAAGTAAGCAATAAAATATCTTTTGGGGTATTTATTTTTACTCAAAAGCAATTGCCAATAATTTATAAAATCGTCCTGCAGTATTTCTCTCCAGTTTGTTTTGGAATTTTTGTGTATTTTAGCTCTGTGCAGCCATGAATGCTAAACGAAAAGAAACTTTGCCTGGAATTCGAAAATTAGTTATTAATTTGCATATTGAACGTGGAAAATCTATTAGAGAAGCTACTGAAACAGTTAACTTCAGTCATTCAACAGTTTTCAATATCATTAAACGATATAAAAAGAACCATATGATTCAGGATAAAAGAAGACCTATCCGACCATCAAAGCTATCCAATGGAATAAAGCGAATTATCGTTCGAAATATTTAAAACAAATCCAAGAATGAGTGCTCCTAAAGTTGCTGCTGATTTACAAGCATTATATGGAGTAATTGTTAATTCTGAGACTATTAGAAGAGTAATTCGATCTACTGGATATCACGGTAGAGCAGCCAGGAAAAAATTCTTCGTAAGTGAAAAGAATAGAAAACTCAGACTGGCTTTCGCAAAATCCAACATAAAATAAGAATTCTGATTACTGGAATGAAGTTATATTTGCTGATGAGAGTAAATTTAATATATTTGGTTTCGACGGTAGAATCTTGGTGTGGAGAAAACCCAGGGAAGAATTTCGCAAACAGAGACTTGGTGCCAACAGTAAAACATGGTGGAGGAGGAGTTATGGTATGGGGGTGTATGTCGTCCGCTGGAGTTGGTAATCTTGTTTTTATTGACAGTATAATGGATCGGCACAAGTATATTGACATTTTAAATCAAAATTTGAAATCTTCAGCACGAAAATTGAACCTTCATAACGATTTTAAATTCTACCAGGGACAATGACCCCAAGCACACTGCTTTGAACGTTAGACTCTGGCTGCTGTATAACTGTCCTGGAAATAATAAAAACACCACCACAATCTCCAGACTTAAATCCCATAGAAGAATATTTGGCAAAGAATTGGAATCAAGAATTCGCAAACACACCATTTTCTTCAAAACAACAATTAAAATCGGTGCTTCAAGAAGAATGGGAGTAAAATCACTCCAGAAATCACAAAAAAATTAGTCGAAATCCCATCCCAAGAAGATTAAATCATGTTTTTAAAAGTAAAAGGAAATCCAACAAAAATATTAAAACCTTTTAAAAAGTAAAATTTTTGGATAAATATTTGATGGAAAGTAAGTGTCCCATCACTTAAGTGAGCCATTTTCTGCTCCTTTCTTAACAATTGTATTTTTATAAATTAATATTTTGAGAAAATGTATGTTATGTAATAATTGTTACTAAATTTAAGTATGAAACACACCCCACAAAAAATTTTACATGTTTTTTTATTTATTTTAATACAGTTTCCTTTTTGTAAAGCACAGTGTCCCATCACTTTTTTGAGACACTGTATGTTTCGATGTCCAACAAACAAAAAGTGGAATTGCTGCAAAAAATGGATAAAGACATGAAGAAAGTGACAGAGAGGTTAGCCGGTTTTCTCGGCACAGCAATTACCGGGACTTGAACAGCGGAACTTTGTAACTGAACAAGAAATTATGTCTTTTTATAGAATTAAAGAGAAAGTATTATCACATAAAACGAAGCAACTTAAACAACTTACATTGAGGGAAATGTTTAATAAAGTAAACAAATAAATATAAGCTTTTTTTTTTTGTGTGTGTGTGTAAATTTTGATACCCTTTAGATCATAATTGTTCTTTATTTCATAAATTACGGTTTCATATTTTTAATTTTATGATTTCTGCATGCCATCTTACCAGATTTAAACTGATGATCTATAATCCGGAAAAATCGAGAATCGCCGAAGTTCCTACGAGTCCGGATTAACGACTTTTGACTGTAGTTTGAAACCAAGCGAACGGGCTATGTCAAACCCTTCAAAAGTTTTTCGTCTCACCCTCAACCGCGTGTTTTATGTTAAATAAATAAATCCAAATCACACCCTCGTTAATGAACACGGGGGATGTTTTATTATGCCAACAGAGGTAAGTATTAAAGAGGTTAGAATAGATTCTAACGTCTTTGGTAAATATCATATGGAGGATGTTCATGTTCACAAAGCCTACAGACCGTTTCTTCGATTAGTTAAAACAGGAAACGTAGAGTTACAGAATCTTGCTTGGTTGCTTGGCGACTTTTGCTTTATCACATTTGCTATTTGTTTGTGAGCGTGGTGTATCAAAATACGTTAATATAGAAATACCGAATACTGGAATAAAATATAATTTTAGTTATACTTACATATAATTTAAGTAAAAAGAATAAGTATCCGACACCCTGAAATGTTTATTGAATGTTTTCATATGGTTTATTTTTCGTTGTGATTTATTTTACTATATTTCAGCGCGATGTTCAGAAATGGAAAAATATCACGCTGTCCTCCTAGAGGAAGTACGTCATCGGATGATAACCATGACCTGGTCTACCATAATAAGCTGTTTCTCCCCTTTTTGGCGTTAAGGCTGTTCTCCGTACTATATCCGTATTTACTATTATATATACATACTTCCTTTCTTGCTTTAGGGTTGTCGCAATTATTTTTGGCAGCACTGACTTTTTGGCAGCATTTGGCGAGTTTTGACGGTCTTCAAAACGGAAGGTTGCCCTACGTTGTTTGCATCGTGTTTGTGTTTATATCTCTGCAAACGGGAATTTTCGAGATTTTGGTGCAATCTTGTACCATTATAATATTTTACGTTATATCGTGTACTCCGTGTCTTTGACAGTGCTTTTCTTCAAGACGTGTTTGTAGAATGTTTAAGCGTCTTTAATAATTTATTTATTTAAATATTATTTCGGTATCTTTTGATGCAACTGAAAATGGGAACTACTCAAGAAAAGTAAGTCCTGTTTTAAAATTTTACTTAATTATGTTTTCATTTGTAATTTGTGTATTTTGTTTTAACTAAAGCAATCTAATTCAAGGGTTAACTAAGTTTGTGGGACGTTCTGTCTGCACGTGGGCGATTTTATTCTCTATGTTAATTTAAGCATATCTTGTTCTTATGGATGCATTAATTAATTAACTAATATTTGACATAAATTATATAGCAGGAAGTACTTCGAGAAATATAAATAGATCTGAACTAATGTATTATTTGCACATCACTTAATTACAATTTTTTATTTGAAAAGTATTGATAGTTTAATATTCAGTAAAACGTTTGGATGAAAGTTTCCAGAAGATAATGTAACCAGTAAGCATAATTCAGCTGATGAAAATATTATGTAATTTATAGTAAGCACAGTAATGTTTTAAAAAATGATAATATAGAACGAACTTCAACTTTTTATATTTTTAATGCTGCATGAAATGGTATCGAATGAAGACATTGGACACTGATTCTTGCCATCAAATCTGAAATCTGTAATGTTCTGAAAAGATTTTTAACAGTTCAAAATAAATTTTTTCTGTAGTTTTAAGTAAGTCTTTCAGCTGAGGAAGAATGTGTCAAAAGCAAATAACAGTAGACTGTATGTAAAACACTCAATGTTTTGTCATAATATTTAAAAATGAATGGGGAAGTGTATGACTGGTTTCAGTGAACCCAAAAAAAATTTAAGAAGTGTATTTATCGATACATATAAAAGTTTATCTTTGTGTAATAACCAATGATTGCTGTTTAGAGGAAATTGATAAAGAATTGGTTTTAAATAAGGATATTATTTTAAAGATATGAAAATTTATAAAATATAAAAGACTGTTTGGTAAAATCCTAGTATACGGTGCAACCTTGGTATGATTGTGAAAATTATCGCCAACACCAAAATGACCCGTTTAACTACTCATCGTATATGTCCCGTTTACTGCTCATCATAAAGTTGCCCAAAGCAGCCAAATCCATTGTGCACAGGATACTAGGATTAATCCGACTGTTTTAAATAAATATATTAATTTGTATTAAATTGCTTTTGTTCTTTGCATAATTTTTCAGATGCATTTTTATCATTTTTCTTCAGTAAAAATTAACAGTTGAATGGCCATTGATTATTTGGTGAATATTTTTTATGCTTAGAATGACACTTATTTTTTATTGCAAGATTCAAAGTTTTTTCCTTGATAACTACGTCAACATGGAGGAGTATCTTGCTGTACACCTTAGTGTCAAAGATTATACCTTTTTCCAGATACTCTTTGTGGATAATACCACAGCAATCCTACTAGATACAAAGTATGATCTTTTTGTTAGTGAAATTGTACTTTGTGGCGCTGCTGAGGCGTCTCGCCAGGCACAGACCAACCGCTTTTTTGGCCTATATTATTGAAGTAAGTTCACTTTTCATCACAAGTGACAATTCAGAATTTTGTCCTTGCACTGATATTCGAGCAGATTAGTGCAGGCCTGAAAATGTGTGTCCTTATCTGCCTGAGTCAGTTCATGCAGCATCCAGTGATTGAGCTTGTACGTCAAGTTTATGTGAGGCATAGTGTGACTAATGGACATGGCACTAACCTCTGATGGCCCTCATCAATATCAGTAGGCTGGCCAGAGTGCCCTGCTTCTTGAATGTTAAGAGTTCTTCTTATTCAATTTTCGGTACCAAACTTTCAAAGTGTTATATGATACAACATTAGTACCTAAAGCTATACACTTGATTTGGTGACCTTTTTGCAACAGAACTTGAAGTAAATGATGGTTCTAATCTGGTAGCATGATAGTTCCGTTTCAAATACTTTGTACTTAATGATTTCGTTACAGATTTCGCAATGCAGAGTTCTAAAGCGAGTCTGTTTCTTTCAAATGCCAAAAATCTTTTGACAAAATATAATTAAATACACCAATGCGAAGTATTTATGCAGACGATATTCGCAGTGGTGGGAAACTTTCATTAAAACCCGATATGAATGTATGGGTAATGATCCATCCATTATCATTTAAAATCAAATTACAAATCCATCAATTTAAAAACTTTGTAATTCTAATAAATTTTTAATCTCCACCAAAATATTCGAAATAAATATTTGGAATAGTTTGGAAGCAATTTTAGAATCTCTGAACATTGTATGTGAGATTTTCTCTTAATGAAAATATTAGATTGATGGGAAATATCAGACTGATGTAAGAAAAGGATAAACAACTTAAAATGGCAGGAGGATGTTGTATAAATTTAATTAATAGTATCACATCCATCGTTTTATATGGCTTCTGCCTATCTTTCAGCAATTGTTTAGTCCTCTCTTTGACAAAGACTTAATATTATCGTAAAATATTAATTTATTTTCTTTTACAGATGTGCAAGAATTTCCCATTGTTAAATTTTTGTCATGTCATTCTTGCAATATGGGATTTAGTGTTAATCTTCTGATAAATCATGTAAGGCCCCATTAATGCAGGCCCTTTGATTATTAAAGAGCACTTCAAACTCTCTAAAGTGACAGTGCATCCATTAAAGGCTTGACAGTTTATAATAAACCACCACTTCCTTATTCATATATAGTGTAAACTTGCTTTGGACTACTATATTTTTCCTGGGAAAATTGAAGTATCCTATATACTGGCAATGATGTCTATTTTTTATTATTATTATTTTATTTTTTCGTATATCTTTGATTTAAGAATCTAGCCTAATGGCCAGTTTTCTTTTTAAGACTTTTTTATGATTTGTAATTTAAAGAAATTTAAATTGCAATTTAAATAAAACTTAAGCATTGCATCCAACTTAGGTAATGGTCTTCTTGATTTTCTAGAAGCTGTAAACTATCTATACAGCTTGTTTTGTGTGTACATAATCCCTTTCTGTAAGAAGGCCTTGCAATTGTTGCAGCTATATTGCATAGAGAAGTGCTAAGCATTTACTTATCTGCGAAATAGCTCTTTTTAAAGTACGAGATGGCATATTGTCAGAGAAAGAAAATACACCAACTTCCAAAAGTTAGCACGAAGATGCAAAATGCAAAACAATCAACAAATACTGCTTTGATTGACACAAAATTCGGCAGGAAAATAGCATATATATTTATGCCTAAAACGAAATCAATAATTATACAGTCAAAAGTCGTTAATCCGGACCTCAAAGCTACAAAATTTCTGTGCATGCGTCGTGTTGACGCATGCGCATAAGACCTTTATGGCTGTGAATATGCGTGTGCACATACGCATAATATGTTTATGCATGCGCGTTTAATGTATAAAGGACGGTATAAGCTAAGCTAAAATTATCTAATTCAGTTAATATTGCAGATTGCGTTGTTCCTTAATCTTTGAATTGGATCCGGCTTATTATTTTTTGCAGACTGTTAGAGCAATTTTATAAAAGTAAGCTTGAACTTTCGATTATGTCAAAATAGATTTTCCGATATATATTTAGCTGCCATGTAAAGGATCTACAAAGCAAAAGTATTGTTTCAATGTCCATTCAAACAAACAAGTGGAATTGCTGCAAAAAAAATGGATAAAGGCATATTACTTTGTTTGCCTAAGCCATTCCATGAAATCTCTTTATCAATTTCACGCTGCTCTGCAGGGGAGGAACGTCGCGGTGCGCAATGAACAGGAAGTTGATCTGTCAGCACTATCCTTCATCTTTACAGGGGAAGATGTTTTTACATTTTATTAGGCTTATAATTCCTTACTAAATGTAGTATTTCATCTTGATGTACTCAGTCTTTGATAGGATTTAAATCAAATTCCTCGTCATTATAATTCGCTTCCGATAGTGAAGAAAGTGACACAGACGTTATTGAAAACGAAAAAATTTTTCTTGACAAATTAGTCTGTGTTCTCGACACAGAAATTATGGGACTTCAACAGCGGAACTTTGTAACTGAAGAAGAAATTATGTCTGTTTATAGAATTAAAGAGAAAGTATTATCACATAAAATGAAGCAACTTAAACAACTTGCATTAAAAGAAATGTTTAATAAAGTAAACAAATAATTATTAAGCTTTTTTTTTTTTTGTAAATTTTGTACTTTTTAAATCATAATTGTTCTTTATTTCATAAATTACGGTTTCATATTTTTAATTTTATAATTTCTGTATGCCGTCTTACCAGATTTAAACTGATGATCTATAATCCGAAATCGCCGAAGTCCCGACGAGTCCGGATTAACGACTTTTGACTGTATACAGAAATGAAAAGAACATTAAATTTTTGTAAGTTATCAGATAATTATATACTGGAGACAGAATTATGTATAAAGTGAAAATAAATAGCATAAAAGGGAAAAAAAGGACATTAATAGGGTAAGTGATCTCCCCTCATCTGTATACAAAGTTTACACCTTGTGACCATGTTTTCAATTAGGTGGTCAACCACCTGCAGAATTAAGCAATTCGCCATTATTCTTGTAGAGCAATTTCCAGCTTAATAAGAGTGGCGGGAGGTGGGAAAAGGAAAGATACAGCACGGCTGAGAGCATCCCAAAGATTTTCAATGGGATTAAGGTTACGAATATGCTGGCCACGCCATTCGTGCAATCCCTTCACTCTCTAGGTAGTCATCTACGATGTCAGCTCTATGGGGATGTGCGTTATCGTCCATTAAAATGAAACTAGGGCCAACTGCTGCAACGTACAATCTCACAATGGGTTCTAGGACTTCATCTCGATACCAGACAGCCGTCAAAGAACACCATTTAAAGATGTGCAGGTTGGTGCAGTATCCTAATGAAATCCCTGCCCACACTCTAATGCATCGCCTTGGAATGCGTGACGTTCGGTGATGTTTTGGGACTGATTGCGTGTTTGTTGTTCATGCCATATCCTTATACGCTTGTCATCTGGCTCCAGACTAAATCTTGACTCATCACTAAACATGACATCGCCCCAGTCAGACACATTCCAATTGACATGTTCCTGGCACCACTGTAATCATGCCCCTCTTGATTGGATGGATAGAGGAACACAAACTTGAGGTACCTGGGCGTACAGTCCACTCATATGTAATCTTTGGCGTACAGTATAGTCTTCGGCTGCAGATATCGCTTTACCAATGGACGCTGTAACCATAGATGTCACACGTGTGGAGGTCGCTCTGCGATTCCGCTTGGCTACAATAGCAATATATCGATCTTCTGCAGGGGTTGTAACCCTTGGGCAACCGGCTATGGGACATCGGACAACTGTCTGTGTGGTTTGGAATTGTTTCCATAAATGTGAAATTACAGAATGATGAACGCCGAAGAAAAGAGCAACATCTGTTATCGACTGTCTTGCTTCAATGCGCCCCACAGCATGCCAGCGCTCAGAATCTTCCATTCATCTTCTGGAAGTCATAGAAACATGTACGTCTTGAAAACAAATTGTACGAAAGTTTTAAACACCTTCTATCAGCACTTACAATCAACTTCTGTAACCCTTCAAAAAGCTGGCTTCTTATATGACTGCCTCTTTTTCGCATATTTCTTGACATGAGAGTGCGATTGGCTGTTACCTAACATATTTGCATACTTCCATCTACCTCTTCAGCAAATTGCATCCTCTTCAATTCTGATTGCCTTCTGGAAATTAGCATTTTCCTCTCCGTGCTTTAACTTTTGGAAGTGAGTGTATTTTGACTGCCTAAATGTGGCATTAATATTTTCTTAAAAATAAATATATTTTTAAGAGTTATTTCTTATTCTATTTCAACTATTTCTTTTGAATACTTTGAATTGTTATTAAAGTATGCATCTTTTATTTTGCATAAATAAACCAGTGATTCAAGATTTTCATGTGTTCTAAAAAATGGAAAATACATCTTAGATCACAAACCTTAAAATTTAAAGGTTATGATTTATAAATGAATATGTTTCAGAGATAAACAGATGTTGGAGAAGTTGATGGAAAAATTGGCTGATGCTGAGTATCCATTCTGTGAAGAAGTTTCGAAGTATGAAAAACTTGCTAAAATAGGACAAGGAACTTTTGGGTATGTGCTTATTTTTCTTAGTTTTAAGCTTCATAATGTATATACATATAAGAAAGAAAAAGTTTTTCATGATTTTTTTTCCCCACACTGTATTGATATTGATAGTTCTGTATTAATTTCTTTCCCTAAAAATTTGTTAGCAGATACTAGAAAGATTTTAAAATAAGAAAAGTTATCTATATGCAGTGCAGTTTTCTTTCTGTATGCCATAGCTTTCAAATGTAAATCATATTGCCATCTGTGAGCACTAAGAATATTGTTAGGGAAGATGAAGAGTTCTAATCTTAAGGACTGTATAAAGGTCTTGAGAAACAAGTGAGCAAGGAGTTGCTTGAAAAATTTAGTTTCTTAAACAATTAAAAGTAAATTAAGCATTGCTGAATTATATAAACATTACAGTGTACATCTTTTTTAAGAACCAAATAAAATTATATCAGTTGACCATTCATGCACATTAGTCCAAGTTGTAAATATATAAACTGATTCATTGCAAAGCAAGCCATAGCTGCAGGCCCGCACCAACAACAGGTACAAGATCGTGCTACACACAAAGGTGTCAAGTGAAAAAGGCACAGGACAATCATTAAAACAAGCAGTTTGCCTCGCTGCTTGTCTGAACAGAAAAATTCTTTTCTTACTTGAATGCCCCTCCGGGGTCGACTCGGGTTAAAACCTGGGAAGCTACTGATTAGGATCTGTACCTGGGCAGTCTCAGCCGCAGGTGTTTAAAGTCGGTCTCCGCAGGACTAGCAGGCCAGATTGGTGGCTCGGTCTGTCTGACAGTGCTTAAGTGTCTTTGTTCTGCTGTCTGGGATTAGGACCCCTTTTGAAGGCAGATGTTTTTACGATCCCTCCAGAACGCTGAATGCGAGTTGTTGAGTATTTCTGTCGACTCAGCTTAGTCTTATCTCGTCGGCTTGACTGATAGGTTAGTGGCTCCTTGGATCACCTCTAGGGGTTGGGGTGTTTAACTATGTTTAACTAACTTGAGATTGCCAGATCTGAGTGCCCCTTCCTCCTATTCTTATTAAAATGTGAAAATGCGTGATGCCGATGCGTATGTAAGGGTAGACGCATTCGACAAATTGCTTAATCCTTATTGTGTGTCTACTGCTGCAATTGGAGTAATTTGTTGCACCATTTATCTTTTTTGTGATTGCTTGTTATTGTTTTTTTACATAAAAAAAAAGGGAAAAGCTAAGTGCAGTTGCATATTATGTTAAACTTAGATTAACCTTTTAATTCGGAAAAGCAACGATTTGAGCATAATTACTTGAAAACTGTTTACCTCTCATATTTAAACCATTGTGCATAATATAACGTAACATAACATTAGTGGCGCTTCCTTCTTATGAAAAGAAGGAAAAGAGCTTAGGCAATGTTGCCCATTGCTCTTCCGCCATTTGATCATTTAAAAGGTTTTAAATGGTAACTCCCGTGAAAGGTAAATAATAAATAAATAGATAAGATCCCAAACTGACACCAAATATAAAGTATCAGCAAAAGATCTCATCTCTAAATTCAAGGGTGTCGGCTGGATCGTGAAAAACTTCCCTATTGGATGGAAACCGATTCAATCCCTCCCAAACCACCAAACGCAAATTCTTGACCAAACAAGAGTGCGATGGCGAGTCTAAAAAAAAAAGTACAAATAATTAATAAAATAATAAGGAGGGCAGAGGTGCATTCTCAAGCCAAATGGCCAGGTAGTGTATAAAGATTTGATATCTATTTCAAATTATATTCCAAAACACAGCTATGAGAGGGAAATCCCTGCATAGTTTCTTTTAAAAAAAAAAAAAAAGAAAAAAAAAACTCACAGGGGCGTCTCAATGCTTGTTTCTTGTGGTTTCATATTCACCTTACCTGTAGGTGTTTAGTATACATCAGAAACCCTATTATGCCAGAGAGCCCTTTGTATAAAAGGGCTTGATCAAAGGTAATATAGGGAAACCCAAGGAATTTGTTTCTAGGGACAGAAAACACTGGACATCGTCCCAGAAAGTGAAAAGGTGTTTCCTCTTCTTCTCCACAAGCTGGGCAGAGAGGAGATTCGACAAGACCACATTTGTGGAGATGCTTAGCTAGATAAGCATGTCCAGTAACAATTTGAATTACCTGGCATAAGTTAGTTCTACTGAGGTGTATGAATTTACCTAATAAGTTAAGTGTACTGAGCACCAATTTAGAATGAGCACAGTCTGGTAGTTTAGACCATATATCATCATGTTTGTTCTTTATCCAGCTTCTTACTTCTTTTTTTAAGTTTGATATGAAATTGGGTAAAATGGTTCTGGGCCAGACATCGGTAGTTGCGAAGCATCTTTAGCTACTTTATCAGCTAGTTCATTTCCAGCAAACTCACAATGACCTGGGACCCAGACTAAACTAATGGTATTATGGGCCTGAGCCAGAGAATTGAGATCTTGAGTACAGTTCAAAACACAGATTTGTAACTTGACACGATTAGCCAGGGCAAGGATGGCTGATTTACTGTCAGAGAGAATATATATATTCTTATCAACTGTATTTTTAGCTAAGAGCTCTCTGGCGACCGTATTGATCGCCAGAACCTCAACTTAGAAAACAGTTGTTAGTTTACCAAGGTATAGATGAAATCTAATGAAATCTTCTCCAGATCCTTTGGTTTGTACTGACTTGTGCATAGTATATACAGTAGTTTTTATCTGTCCATTGGGAAATGCCCAGTACATTCAATTTCCTGAAATTGCTAGAAGGCATGCACAGCTACCTCCACTTATAGTCGGATACAATCCCAGGTACAGTTATATTTATACATGCATCGGACCAAAATGTCGCCCAATATTCGCCATTTTGGCGATTTTTGTCAATTTCTCTTGCATAATTTGGTGAGAAAAATTAATTGTCAAAACCATCATTAGATTGGCGCTATCTCATCAGTTTAGCGAGATAGTTATTTACCTCAGTATTAAATTGATTATGTTATTTTTCTGGAGGAGCTTTGCTTTCTTTAGACTTTTCATGCTGCATTATAAAACATACTATGATGTATGTATAATTTCACTAAAATTATTTATGTATAATACAAAATTTATAACAAACAATATTAATTCTGAATTATGTGTCAAGAATTTTATACTTATTTTTTAGGTTCTGCATTTCAATTCAAACAAGCATCATAGATAATCTGTTTACTTAACTGATGTAAACACGAAATGTGTTTTCATTGATATGGAACAGTGATATTTAGATTGTTAGAAATAGTAATTGTAAAATTTTTTCTATTCTCTAAATTTTTACTAAAAATGGAAAACATGGTGACATGTTACTTTACTAGGCCTTTTTTCGGATGAAATGTCGTATTTGGTATTTCATTAGGCCACTATTTTTCAAATTATGTTCCACTGAACCCTGAGGTTCCATGCAATTCCTCTAGAGGTTCTGTGAGTTAAAATAACAATTCAAGGGACTGTAAGAAAATAAACAGTAAAGCTGAAGGTTACCATTCATCTGGAAATGCCTGAAAAGTCAGGGAAATGAAAAATGGGTACTTTTTGATGCCTCCACCAAAAAATAAAGAATTTGTTAGCAACTTTAGAGAGCATTTGCAAATTTGTTGGTGATGTTGAAGAGAAATGTTTGTTTGAGTATCTTTAAGACTATGCATCAAGTGCCAGCTATTTATTTACAGTCTTTTTTCATGCAAGACATATTCTCTTCTCAGTATTTTGCACTGTTGTTTTCTCCATATATACAACAGTCGATTTTTGCTTTAAAAATAATAAGAAGAAGACAACTGCATGGTTTTGGTGCCAAAATCGTAAAATGTGAAGGAGAAAAGAAATGCATGATGTCTTCAAGTAAGCCACATTACATTGCATGCAGGCAGAAAGCAAAGTCAGAGATTTTGCCAGAGATAATGAAAACTTCAGTGTGCTATGTTAAAACACTGAAGGGATCATAATTTGTTGTCACATTGATGAAAATGTCTGAAGTGGAAAGCCATCTGAGCGCTGCTACGTACCTACCTGAGTTTCCACATAAATAATTTTTGACAACATGATGCATTGCCTCATCAGTAATTTTTCATTGATTTTCGGTGGGGGTGTGGATAATCTGAAAGTACTGAGAAAATAATTAAAGAAAGTCAGGGAAGATCAAGAATTTTAAGTTTAAAAAAAGATGCAGAGGTCACTCTTTTCAGATAATGAAAAGTTTGTTTTAAATAGTAACTTATAAGCAATACTTTTCTGTCACCGCTCTAGAAATGCAATTGCTCTTCAACAATAAATAATACAATTTTATGTATATTATAATAAATAACCATGTTAATGAAAAAAAATATATCAAAGAATGTAATTTTTGAATTTACCTTTTCCTTCCAAGGAAAAATTGCTCCCATATTTGTGACATATTGCAAAGTATTTTATTTTGTCTGTGTTACAGTTTAAATGCTGTTTTGAACCAAAATTATGTCTATACTTGTAAATTCATCACAGAAATAAACTTACCTAGTAAACAAATCTGTTCCTCTGAAACGAAACATTTTTTAATGCTTTCAAAAAATTACTGAGCAAAATTATTAAATTTTTCTCCAAAAGTAATTTGAGCTAACACTTGAATGTTGCCATTTATTGTCTCTTGTGTGTTTATTTTACAATTTTGATTATTTATTTGGCAGGGAAGTGTTTAAAGCACGTCATCGAACAACAAGAAAAGTTGTTGCACTGAAGAAAGTTTTGATGGAAAATGAAAAGGAAGGTGTAAGTACTTTTTTGAAGTTATTATATTTTTATTTTATTTAGAGTTTTTTTAGTTGAAAAATATTTATATTTAATTTTTAAAGGTGTTATTAATTCTTATTTACTGTGCTAAAAATTAAATGATTAATTACCTAATTAACCACTTTAATAATTATATTCATCTTTTATTATAATTAAGCAAAAAAATTATGTACACCCAACAGTACTGCTGTTGCTTGCCAAAAAAAAAAAAAAAAAAAAAAAGTCCACATCTGATTAGATTTTTAGGTACTGTTCTGTTTTGAGAATCGCAAAAAAAAATTGCAGCGAAAATGTATGCGTAAAAGCACCAAATCTAGCAAACATGCCCATTTAACAGCACGCCAAATCTAGCAGACGTGCTAACTTCAAATTGCGTAAGTTTAGATAGTTCTATATTTTTTAAGATGCCATTGAAATACTAGTTTAATTTTTAAATCCTTTTTTGATATCCTATGGATTTAACAATTTGGGAATTGCCCATGATGAAAAGTCTGCAATAGAATTTTTCCAAAGAAAAGTCATCATTCATTATAGAAAATTATGTGTGAACAACCAATGAGATGAAATTCTGCTTTAGCGATAACTCGGTAGCGAAATAGCAATGCAGGAATCTATTCAGTTATGTTTAACCTTTTGTATGTAAATTATAATAATAAAAATAATAATCTTCAGATAGTTATTTACTATTATACTTCCTTTCTTGCGTTAGGGTTGCTGCAATTATTTTTGGCAGCACTGGCATCAACAGTAGTTTGGCGATTTTTCAAGGTCCTCAAAACAGAATAGTACCGATTTTTATTATGGAAAAATATTCAAGAACTTAATCTGTTGAACTACTGCAAAAGCTTTTAAAGTAGAAAGTTGTTGAATAAAGCAATATATGGAATGTTTCATGAGAGAAATTGATTTGCCATGCTTTACTGAGTTGTGTTTGCACTGAAGAAATATCATGAAAGCTCTGTGCAATCAGAGTGCCAGAATTGAATTGAGAGAAATTGCCATTTCGTAGTCTTCTAATTCACTTGACCCCTAATGTGCATTTTGAAATGCCAAGGGAGTTTATAAGGTAATCGTATGAAAGGTTTTAATGTATTATGTTTATTATAGCCAGTTTTCTGAATCAAAGCTTGAAGTAGTTGACAAAACAGCAGTAATAAATGCATAAAAATTGTTAGCTTCATAGATATTTATTATTACTCAGCTTTAATTTTTCTTTTATGTGCTATGTATCTAAATTATTATTAAATTCTAGGGAATAAAAGCATTCAACTCTGAATAGTATTTCTGTTGTAGGTGTATTATTTTTATATGTTGGATAAGTGCTCGATGATTACAAGATATACACAAACATTGTTTATCCTACATTGCTACTATACTACTTTATATTACAGTTCTGATTAATAATAATATATACAGTTACATATGTAACATCTCCCTTTTTTTAACAGAAATAATAATAAAGTTATACATATTCTTTTAAATAATGAGGTTTTTAACAGTCCTACCAGATCAAGTAACATAGTTATGTCCATTTGCAAAATTTGGTGATACAATACCTCTTTTAGTATTTGGTGGCTCAACACTTCTGTTGGGTGCTGAAGAATTAGCAGGCACATTTAAATTTGAAGTGCTCCTGCTATTTTCAGGTATCTCGGGTTCATCCTCATGACTTTCATTTTCATAGTTGTTTTGCATTACAAACTCTTTCTGATTTGTTCCTTTAAGAATGTATCTTCAGTTCATTTCTACAATTCTTCCATCTGTTCTTATAATCCTTTACTTTCTGCTGCTTCTATAATTTTCCCTCTTTAATTTAGTTTTTTCTCTTTCTATTTTATTGCATTTCTATCATAATAGCTTTTTTGTAAGGTTTCTCTCTTCAGTAATTGTCGTTTATGGTCTTCATATTGTTTAGTTTGGATGAAATTCACTTTTATAGGCATCATTCAATTTACTTTTCTTCCAAACATCAATTCTAAAGGTGACTTAATTTCATCTGAAATAGGAGTGTTGTGATATTCCAGTAATACTAAATATGGATCTTTGTTGTAAACTACAGCTTTTTCTAGCATTCACTTGACAATTCGAATATATCTTTCAATCTTTCCATTAGATTGTGGGTAATTTGGACTTCAAGTTCTTTTTTGAAAATTCCACCTTCTTACAAATTCTTTAAATTTCCCGCAACTATATTGTGAACCATTATCCAAATATACTATTTTCGGAATACCATGTCTTGCAAAAAATGATTTCAGTTGCTTTTTCACTGCACTCAACAGATCTTCCAAATGTCCAATTTCAACATATTTGCTAAAATAATCCAGAACTATTAGATAATTCTTTCCTTGAAAGTAAAGAAGATCTGTTCCCAATATTTCCCATGGACCATTAGGCATTTCTTTAGATATCATTGGTTCTTTGGTGTTAGCTTTTTGTAAACTTAAACATGTTGGACAATTCAGTACCAAATCTACAATTTCTTTCGATATTCCTGGCCAATACAATATTTCTCTTGCATTATAAATATAAATATCACGAATACACATCAAATAGTTTTCTGGGTGCAATTTTCTAATTTCGACTATGCGTAATGTATGCTTTATGCATGCGCACATTGAAAGAAATATTTAATAAAGTAAACAAATAAATATTAAGCTTTTTTTTTTTTTTGTAAATTTTGATACCCTTTAGATCATAATTGCTCTTTATTTCATAAATTACGGTTTCATATTCTTAATTTTATAATTTCTGCATGCCATCTTACCAGATTTAAACTGATGATCTATAATCCGGAATCGCCGAAGTCCCGACGAGTCCGGATTAAAGACTTTTGACTGTATATAACAGTAGGTAGGAATTTTTAATCAGATACTTGGAAATCTTGGTATTATAAACCTAGGTATATTTCTGAACTAATAATAAATCTGTTCAATATTTTCAATTTAAAGGCAAGTAGCTGATGTTTGTTGTAATTAAAATGCACGCTGGGCATCAAAATTAAAGGATAATTAGAAAAAATATGGGCACTAAATTAATGTTGTAACCAGTTCCTAATGCCATAATTATTTATTTTAATTAAATACAATTGAACACAAAATTGCAATTCTATGCATACATTAGCACTGGAAATATGCAAATATGGTGCACAATGGATGAATGTTGAAATTCTGGTCTGGTAGTGTTGTTTAAAGTGAATATGGTTTCTGAAAGTGGTCACTATTCAGTAGTCAAGACTCAAAGGCATCATTTAACCCTCTTGCTGCGATTTCAATGGTCAACATAGAAGTAGCACTTTTTTCCCGTTCATGATTTCATTTTGGCTCTTCTGTGATGTTTAATTGTATATTCAGATTTGAGATTAACAGATAGCATTAGTTGTCCATATTTCTGCAAAATATGCAAGCATGTTTTGCACTATTTTGCTCGCTCTTTTCAAGCTCAAAGATGTTTGGCAGGAAGTTTTTCGTGAATGCTATAACCCACATTCCTGACAACATTTCTGATTCTAATTTCAAGTATATTGAAGATAGTTATAGCGAAGCTGATGAAAATTTCTCGCATTCCTGTGCGGATAGTGAGATTCATTTTCTATTCAAAATGTTTGACAATGTTGCAAACTTGATGTGCAAAATATTCCACCAGCTCCTGCTTCATTTCCTTTTCTGGGCAGTCCTGAATTTTCATTTGCAAATTATTGAGCTAAGCATTCAGAAGTATTCAGATGAAAACTCAAGTGTTTACCCTGGCAAATGTAGTTCAACTCTATCCCATGAGACTTACTTCTTGAAATTTTGTTAGCCATATACTCCCCGAATCCCATCAAGAAAGAGCCTTGTTGACAGTTTGCTGTTTGTTGCTAAAAAAAAAACTGAAACTTGCAAAAAAATTCACACAAAAACGCAAATTTAAAGCAAAAGATTGTGAGATAGGACTTTGCCTCGAGCCTTGTTTTGAAGTTTATTATATTAAACTTCATTTCTAATAAATGTTTAGTAAATATTTTCATTAGTAGCTATGTTTTATCTTTGTATTTTATAAAATGAATCGTAATTTGATTAAGATTAATTTTCAAAATTTTGCTTTTATATGATTATTCTTCAATTTCAATTTTCCGACAGACTTTTTAATGATCTAATTCTATATTGAAAAAAAAACTCTTTTACAAAAAATTTTTGTATACTTTAAAATATATGTAGATTTGAAATAATGTAATAAAAAGATACACAGTTTCTGAACCTTATATTAAAAAACAATTATACAGCAAGAGGCTTAAGGGAAGGTAAAAAAAGTCAAATAATTGGTAGAATAGAATAGAGGAAGATCAAACACAAATGGAGGTTGCGCAAGATTTGAGTATCCCTCAAGGTACATCAAGAGTTTGGAGTTGCATTTTAAGCACTGGATCAGTAGATAGACAGCCTGATCAAAGCTGACCAGGAACAACAAAGAAGAACCATTTTCTTTTGTTTTTGGCTGGAAGAAACCACAAAATGACTAGAAGAGATTTGGTTTTAGACCTTCAGGCTACCATGGGAACTTAAATTAGCCATTCTACTGATGTATGAAGGCATAACAAGGTTGGATTGTATGGGGTAAATCCACTGGTTTGTGCCCCACTCACATTAGCTTCCAGTGGGGCCCGTTTAAAATGGTGCTATTGTCATATTCAAAGAAGCCAAGATGACTGGTTCTATGTATTTTTAATTAGCGTGTTCAGATGTGTCTGAACAGTGATTCTAGACATGTTTTGATCTGGCAAGAGGAAGGAACACACGACTTGCCTTCCTTTGTCCGTGAAACCACGATTTAATGGTTTGGGGAGGGATTATGAAACATGGCTGTGTATCTTTCAAGGAGGCTCTGTAACCTCCTTGAAAGATATGTGAGTGAGGTATTGTAATCCCAAGTTAGACTGTTTAGGGGTGCTGTTGGCACAGAGTTTTTGCTAATGGATGACATTGTTCAGCCTCTTCGAGCAGATATGGTGTCAGAATACTTGCAAAGTCATCCAGTCTGCATCTCTACAAAGTAATATTGAAAAAGCTTTAATATATTGTGATTTCTACTTGCATATTATTTTATCTGAATTATGTGTACTACTCTTAGAAATAAAAATATTTACCATAATTTTATCTCTAATTTTGTTAATAAAAATGAAACTGAAAAAGTTAGCTAATTTAATGAAGAAATTTAAAACTTTCTAATGTATGTAATTTTGTATCTGATTGTGACTGCTGTGATAATAGTATCTGTTTTTCTTTTCAGTTTCCTATTACAGCCTTAAGAGAGATCAAGATTCTTCAATTATTAAAACATGAAAATGTAGTAAATCTTATTGAAATTTGCCGCACAAAAGGTGAGCTTATTTGTTTTTCTGCATATTCTTCTTCTAATATTTGCTTATTACTTTCTACCATATTACAATTTCTAGAAATAATTTTGACTGTAAATTATTATTTAAAATTAACAATTTTTAGGAGGAAAAAAAAAACTTGGGGAGGGAGGGGGATCATTATAAAAGAGGAATCTGTGTCTTGCTTAATTTGAAATTTTAGTTGGGCATGGTTCTTATAATTATGAAATTTTAGATAGGCATGGCAAATTATAAAATATATATTATATATAATATATTTTATATTCCTTGTATTACTATAATTTTTAGTAATACAAGGAATAGGAAAACATTTACAAATAAGTTTAATCAGAATTTTATTCACATATCTCTGGCAACATTGTTACTATTTTTATTAATTTTAATATTATTTTCTGTAAAGCAGGGAAAATAATTTAAAGTTAGCACATAAATAACTTATTATCAAAATTTGTAACATTATCTGTCTTTTGTTTTAAAAAGCAAAGGCTTAAGACACAATAACACACTGAATAAATACTAATTCAGAAGTCAAACAACAAAAATCAGCGTTATACCTACAAAATTTTCACAGGACTAGTTTCGATGGTTTTACCGAACCATCATCTTCAGCTGCAAAAACCGCAAATGAACAAGATAGGAAATAATGATTAGATAAGATAAGAAAGCCTGGACAAGAATAAGCAAGTGGCGCCATCTGTTGGCGAAACCAGAACTAAAACATAATTTCTCTAAAAGCCGAAGGCAAATTTGGCATTTTGTTTTCCAAAATAAATATTACAAACAAACTGAGGGATTAGCCATGGGAAGCCCCCTCAGTCCCATCCTGGCTGATATCTACATGCATTATTATGAATCAAAATTGTTTGAAACTTTAAACTTCCCGGCATGGTTCCGCTACGTAGACGATACTTTTACCCTGTTTGAAGGTAATAAAGATGATTTAAATAAAGTTCTTTCAACAATGAATTCTATTGATCCTGCTATTCAGTTCACTTTTGAACTTGAGACTTGCAATTCTCTTCCGTTTCTCGACATTCTGGTCACACGTAACACATCCAACTTCAGTACTACAGTTTACCGTAAACCTTCATCGGTTTGCCTTCCAACACTTTAAATCATGTCATCCGACTAAACAAAAGTTAGCTTCATTTTATTCCTACGTTTTCCGTGCTCTTCAAGTTTGCTCCTCCAAACTAGCCCTTGATGAAGAACTAAATTATTTAAAAGCAATAGCTATTGACAGGGGCTTTTCACCCAACATTATTAATCAAGCAGTTAAAAAATTCTCATCTGAACACACTAAAAACCACACTCTTATTTTAGGAGATTATAAAAATTCTGTTGTCATTCCCTTCTTTCCATCAATTAGCTATAAAGTTGCACATATTTTGCAGAAATTTAACTTTTGGGTTGTTTATTCTCCCATCAATAAAATTCCAACTTCTATACTCAAGGACCCCATTCCGGATATGAATTCCTGGGGTATTTATAGGATTCCTTGCCAGTGTGGTTTAATTTACATTGGCCAAACTAAGAGAGCCTTAAAATTTCGCGTCAAAGAACATGAGGCATATGTTAGAAAAAAGGAAACACAGAAGTCTTCTGTTGCTCAACATTGTTGGTCTGAAAATCACACTTTCAATTTTTCTGCTGCCAAAATTATTCAAAAAACATCTTCCATTGGAGAACTGGATTTTCTAGAGGCATTTCACATTCATAAAAATCTTTCGGTTCTAGTTAACGATCCTAATTCCAATCCAAATTTGCCTTCGGCTTTTAGAGAAATTATGTTTTAGTTCTGGTTTCGCCAACAGATGGCGCCACTTGCTTATTCTTGTCCAGGCTTTCTTATCTTATCTAATCATTATTTCCTATCTTGTTCATTTGCGGTTTTTGCAGCTGAAGATGATGGTTCGGTAAAACCATCGAAACTAGTCCTGTGAAAATTTTGTAGGTATAACGCTGATTTTTGTTGTTTGACTTCTGAATAAGCAAAGGCTTAGTTATATATCCTTTATTAATTGGCCTTTTGAAAACCAAAATATTCGTATAACTGCAGGAAAACATTTAAAAATTGTATTGATACAAATTATCATTATATCTAAATTGTTATGTTAAAGGCAAGCAATGTTATTTAGTTTTACTCAAGGTTAATGTATAGCTTTGCACTATTTTATCAATTCAAAACAGAAGTTAATTTAGTGAAAGCATTGTATTAATTTATTAACCCTCTAACTGGTATGACCACTTTTATTCAGTCATTAAATTTTCTGTCATTAGTATATATTAACTTGTAATTTAAAATATTTTTTTCTATATAGTCTTTAATGATTTCAATATTACCTAAGGAATAAAAGGTTGTGAAAACTAACCCCTTCGCGCCGGGTATCGCAAACGCGCGCTTATCGCGGAGGCCGGCTGTAGCGTAGCGGTATCTTAAATTTAAACTAATAAACATAAGAATAGATCAATGCGAGTGGACTGTAGATTAACATTTATTCGGCAGTTTGAACTTTCGAACACAACACAGCACAAAGTAAAGCAACAGAGTTACAAATAGCATTTGCAAGAATGCAAAAACAAAATGCGAACTGCAGATACAATCTGCGCATTGCGAAATAATATCTCACAGACAGGCAGAGAGCTGTCGTGGCCGAAACACCGGCAGTGTCTTACGCGAGCGTCTGTCCAGGGCCGGGGGCTTTTTTGCTATTAAGCCTAAATCCATGAAATTTCCAAAGTATCACCGCATTGTTTAATAATGCTCAATAGAGTATTTAAACGGGTTATGCTTTATAGATATTTTTATACTATATACTTTAATTACCTTATTTCTTGTTTAAATGCATATTTTACACATTTTATTTTCATTACTCACCATTTTATGACTTTTAACATTATACATCTGAAAACTAAATATATTACTTAAAATTCTCTTTTCGTATGAAAAATTTGAAAACAGGGATCTACACACAGTCCTACGTTACATTCTTTACACTCGTATTAACAACATTGATGATGAGGACATTAATTAATTAAGGATTAATGATGGTGAGGACATTTTGGACATCTATATGCCGACGTACTCGACATACAGATGTCCTCATCATCTTTAGATTCGCCAGATTCTTTATGATCAGACTACATAATAGTATCACTATCACTACTATCAGAATCTGTTTCAGAATCAATATCTGAAATATTTTCCATCATTTCTGCTATTTCATGCTTCTGTTAAACATTTTCGACGCTTCGACATTGCAACAGTAAAAACAGAAAGAATTCACGTCTAACAAGATCTAATTATTTTCTGAATACTGAACTGCAAACCGAAATACCCAACGCTTTAGCAAAAATAAAACTTTTCTGCTTACAATAAACAACTACCACGTGTAAATTTAAAGAGACGTCATAAAGCACGCCATTCGGAAAGATTTATTTCCCCTTTTGTTTATATAATCAAAAGCCACGTGAGTCATGCTTCTCTCATTTTGAGTAGAAGGTCTAATGTACATGTATCTGAAATCATATGGACATACAGTGCCGTCTTGTGGCAGAAATTATAGTTTTTAAAATGTTCCAGGACACTGGCACGTGACAGTCGGGGCTGAATGGGGAAAATGCTCTGGCACGCCTGCGTGTCGGCCGGGAAGTGAGTGTGTTCGTTGCTGGCACGTAGACATGACAGTCGGCACGAAGGGGCTAAGAGTAAAATATGCAATTATACAAATCTGGTATATGTTGTTTCACCTGTAAAACAAAAGGATGTTTTGCTCAGAGAGTTAATTTAGTTTATTACTCATCTAACAAATTAAGATTTTGGCCAATTTATAGACAAGTTTAATAACTAAATATTGTTAAAAAATTTTTGATATACATTTGGAAAATTCCAAATTTTAATTTTTGTTTGTTATTTGTAAACTAATGCATATGTAATTGGAATTTGTAGCATCAGCATTTAATCGTTGCAAGTCAACTTTCTACTTGGTGTTTGATTTCTGTGAGCATGACCTGGCAGGACTGTTAAGTAATGTTAATGTGAAGTTTTCTCTTGGTGAAATCAAGATGGTTATGAAACAACTTCTAAATGGATTGTACTTCATACACAGTAATAAAATTCTGCACCGGTAAGTGGAAAATGGAAAGAGTTTGAGAGTACATGCTCTACATTTGAAAATTTGTGTATTTATGTTTGGGATTAAATGTGTATAGTTGCAGTGTAATTTTATTATTTTTAGATGCTTAGTTGTTTTTGTGAAACTGTGCATGCCACATAAAATAATGAATTTTGTATCTAGCAAATGATTTTTTTTTTTTTTTTTTTTTTTTTTTTTTTTTTCTGTATGTATCAAAAGAAGTGGAATGTAGTATAGCATTGAATTCTGAATGTGAATGCTCGAGAAATCACTTTGCGTGACATACTTTTAGTTTTGTAATAATAACTACATTTTTATACATAGCGAAGAATACTGTTAGTATCCTATATTATGTAACCTTTGACATAATGTTTTAATGAAATGATCTAATTTGAATTCCAGAACATAGTATTTTTATGCACACACACACATAAATAAAGCATGTAGTTCTTTAAATGTGAATAGTGATAAAATCAGTTAAAAGCTGGAAAATTAGAAAGAATTTATAGTGCATGATGATACATTTAATTATATAGATCCTGAACTCGAATTTTCTCTTTACATTATCATTGAGACTGAATCACTATATAAGTGAGTATTGTAACCCCATGGCTCAACAAGTGCCACCTAGCGGCCGCCAGGACAAAACACCGGCCAACAAAGACTATAGCAGTCAGTCGATGTACTGGACTCAAGACACTGAGCATGGTGTTCCCCGAGGTGTAATTGTAATGTTTTATCTTAACTGTGTTTTGTTAATTAAAACTATTTAAAAAGGCCAAGTGAGAGAGTCTTTGTTTATGTTAGTTTTGGTTATAGTATGATTTAATAAAATATCTGATTATTTTGTTAACTATTTAGAACAAAATAATAAAATTAATTTATTAAGCTTACTTAGTGTGTAACAATAAATGAATATTTGGAAAATTAAAATGCTGTATTCATTGATCATTAATTATAAAAAATTATAAAATATACATTTTAACTTCAAAATTTAATAGACAAGTTTCACTTTCACTGCTGAATTTTCCAGTCTGAAATGTCAGCTAATTTATATTATTATGTGTTCATAGCAGATACAAAATAACAGAAGTATTTTTTTTTCCAGTGACATGAAAGCTGCCAACATTCTGATAACAAAACATGGAACATTGAAGCTTGCTGATTTTGGCTTAGCAAGAGCTTTTTCTGTGAGTAAAAATGGTCAGCCTAATCGATATACAAATAGAGTTGTCACATTATGGTATCGACCCCCTGAACTTCTTCTTGGAGAGCGAAATTATGGTCCTCCAATTGATATGTGGGGTGCTGGTTGCATCATGGCTGAAATGTGGACCAGAAGCCCTATCATGCAGGTATGCTATCTGTTTATCATAAAATCATAAAAGTGGTACCCAAAATGCATTATACAGTCAAAAGTCTTTAATCCGGACTCGTCGGGACTTCGGCGATTCCGGATTATAGATCATCAGTTTAAATCTGGTAAGATGGCATGCAGAAATTATAAAATTAAAAATACGAAACCGTAATTTATGAAATAAAGAGAAATTATGATCTAAAGGGTATCAAAATTTACAAAAAAAAGCTTAATATTTATTTGTTTACTTTATTAAATATTTCTTTCAATGCGCGCATGCATAAAGCATACATTACGCATAGTCGAAATTAGAAAATTGCACCCAGAAAACTATTTGATGTGTATTCGTGATATTTATATTTATAATGACGAGGAATTTGATTTAAATCATATCAAAGACGGAGTACATCGAGATGAAATACTACAGTAAAGAATTATAAGCCGAATAAAATAAAAACATCTGCCTGATCGTTAAAAGTTAGAAATCCTGCCATGGATTCTTGCAGAATTCTGAAGGAATTGGTACCTTTATATTTTTTAAACACTCAGTATTCGATCCACTTTGTTTCTGGTGTTTAAAAAAAAAAAAAAAAAAAAAACACCTTTCCTTAATTTCTATTTTGTTATGTTCCTCCATTCTAATGAAAGCTCTGTTGGCTACATACAACTGATTATATCATGTCTACACATTTTTTCTGATAGTAGGATCCCATAACTTCGAAAATAATCCATTGCTTGCTGTTCTGTGGAAGGGCAGGTCATGAATTTTAATAATTTTTTTTCAAAATGCAAGATGAAGTACAGTAATAGTGGTGAATTTTTATCCTTGATATAAAAGCAAAAGGTGGCTGGCTGATAAACTACCTTATTGAAACCAAAAGGGTGGTTGCATGTAGTCAGTGTGTTCTTATTTTGAAAAACTTCGCAGAGTAAACATACAATATTTATTATAATGGTAACAGTGTCTGTTACCTGTGTTCTGATGCAGCAAGATATGCATCCGTACTTGATGAGTTACTAATCTTATGTGCTAAATTTCTTTTGGTGCAACAGTGCCACCTATAGTATCTTCTTAATTCTCAACATACTGGCCCACAGTGAACACTTGTTCATAACAAGATTCTAATTTGCAATCATTGTATTATGATATTCACAAATTCAACAAATATTAAGTGACATGTTAAAATATGAATTTGAAAATCATCACAAGCTGAAAGAGAAAAATTATTAAGATACTAGTTGCATCTTTTTTTCACAAGTTTTATTTTTAATATTTAACATATTTCACACTTTTTATATATAGGGCAGCAGTGAGCAGCATCAGTTGACACTCATTAGTCAACTTTGTGGCTGTATCAATCCTGAAACACTCCCTGGAGTTGAGAAACTAGAGCTGTATAATACTTTAGAATTGCCAAAGGGGCAAAAGCGGAGAGTCAAAGAACGCTTAAAGGTATTTTGTTATTTACTCATTATTTTTTAAAAGCGCAAGTAAATATTTTTATTTATTACATGATTTTATGCAAATACTCATTATTTTTTTAAAGTGCAGTAATCATGTAAGTCAATATTCTGAAAATAATAGTTCACTCTATATTATTTTCAGGATAGGTTATAAAGATGAGAAATATATGTTTATATAATATTTTTATAGAATGTTCCAGAATTTTATAATTTTCTGGTGATGTTCCACTTTGGGATGGATGTTATACATAACCTTAATTCAAGACAGTCACACAATGCAACCTCCCTAAAATAACCACTCATTTCTAGATTATTTTGTTGTTTAGTGAAGGTTACTTGCATTAAACGCATGATTATCAATGATACTCAATGATAAATTAAAATTTTATTCATTTAACATTCATCAATTGTTTCATTGTTTTGTGTTAACAGCTGCAAATCAAAGATTTTTAATTTAAATTTTAAATACTTTAGTGACGTAATGAATTTTTAAATGCTGAGTACTCGTAAGTTAGAGCTGAGGAAAGCTGGTAACTTAACAATTAAGACTTAAGAATATAAATTTGGAAAAAGTAGTTTATCTTTTATTAATTCCAATTTTAGATAAAGATATAAAAAAGTTTTCAACAAAATCACAAAAAGATTTGATATAAAATTACTTAACATTTAAATCACCTTATTCAACCTTTTCTTTTTTTCATAATCATTGACTTGATTAAAGTTTGGCTAAAGAAGCGTGAAAACTCAATAATGTTGGTTAGAGACATTTCTTTCAGATGACTTTTAAATCTTCAATAGATGAATGAATAATCAAATGAATAGGGTCTGTGTTCTTCAGTCTCTTGTATCATATGAGATATATCGCATTAAAATATTTTAATGTAACACTGAGTGTTAGCGAAAAATCGCCAAATTCCTTACAACATAAAGAGAATGTTCGTTTGGGGCCATGTGCTCTATTATCTGAATTCATTCAATTTTGTTTTAAAAAATGATGAAAATTTAGGATTCATGAAATGAAACTGTCTTTTTTTGACAACGTACAGGCGGTGCAATCATTCAAATCGTCCAGCTTGAGTTTTCTAACATCTTTGATATTTATTTACTGGAGCAAAGAGATCAAATCAGTTGTTTCTCCAAACATAATAAACTGGAACAACTACTTAAGAGAAGTTTGTGTAGAAATATTAGCGGAACATGAGGGGAAAAAAAATTACAAAACGAAAGAACAATGCCGGTGGCATTTGCTGCAAAAGTTTCTAGTTAATTTTCTAGTATGCTTTCTAGATTTAAGAAGCACAGGTACAATTTTGTTGTAATTATTATGGAAAGCCAATATTATTGTTACTGGTTTTATGATGTTCTTTGTGAATTAATATTTTGTGAGATCATTTAAAGTGGATAATAAATTATGCTATCACATCTGGTCTGGGTTTGCATAAATTCCTGATAATCATTGACTTGATTTTTTTATGAAGACTCCTGATAATGGAAAACTAAACTATTCTGCATATTTTGTGTATACACATTATTGTTGAATTTTTACATAGTGATTTTATGGTTTTCTGTTCATCAGTTTAGAAAAATATGTTTTATATTTAAAGGAAATTGGTTTTTTAATGTGTGAAATATTTTACTATTCTAATGGACATTCTCAAGCACTACTGTCTGATTTTGTAAGATTTTCTGAACATTACGATTTTTTAACCCATTATCATTTCGGCCCTCTCATTGTATCATAAAATAAGCATTTATCAGTTACTCATTTACATTACTCATGTACAACTTGATCTATACCTGTATCTATTCTTTCTGCCTCATGATTGGGGGAATACTTAAATTTTCATAAATTCAGGCTGTATGGAATGTTTATGCTTCTCAAAATATCGTAACAGAAATACAAACCATATAAATACAAGCATAAAAATGAATGAATATATTTGAAAAATGAAATTTTTTAGTTTTTAACATTTAAAGCAATTTTAGCTTTTTAAAAAACAGTTGCAGTGTGAACAGAATTGATTTTACAGTAAATATTTATATGTAATATTACATGAAAAGTAATATACATAGAAGTTTTAAATTATTAGTTAAAATGAAACTCTTATTCTTAGCTTGATATAATATCAAAAAATAAGAAGTTCAGAAAATAACATACTGATAATTTTTTATTTTTCAGGCTTATGTGAAAGATCCATATGCATTAGATTTATTGGATAAATTGCTAACACTTGATCCTGCAAAGCGAATTGACAGTGATACTGCCCTGAATCATGATTTTTTCTGGTCTGATCCTTTACCCTGTGATTTGGTTAAGATGTTATCACCTCATACTCAATCTATGTTTGAATATCTTTTTTCAAAGAAGAAAAACGAGCAAAATCGACATGCTGGTCCTGGGCAACACCCTAGAGCTCATCCAACAACAAACGATCAGTACCATGATAGAGTGTTTTAATGTTATGTTAAATATCTACCTTGCTGGAAAAGTCTCAGAAATATTGAAAATGCAAAATTTATGCATATTTCATGCCTCTAGATATAAAAAATTTTTTGCTTCATTTTCAATTTTAAACACAAGTTTTTTAAAATATTGAAAACTTGTTCTGTTCGAGCTTTCTTAAAAAAGGAACTGTTTATTGGATAGTATTATAATTTGTGAAATATGCAGGCAGATGTTTTACACATGAAATGAATAATGTTTATAGAATTTTTAATTACATTTGCTTATAATGTATTAAAAAATTATATAAACATCCAAAATTTTGTTATCAGTGAATATGTATATATTATGTATTTTTTTAGAGTTACAATTCAGATATTTCAAATAAATACTTCTTAAAAAATTTACCTTCTTTCAGTGTTATATTATTGGCTTTTTTTTAATTATTATTATATGTTGTGTAATATTTCTGAATAGGCATTTTGCTTCACTGAATGTTAATGTAATACAATAAACCTTTGCTGAACACAATTCCCCAAGTACACAGTACGTTAATTGACCTAATATAATAATTAAATAATTTCAATTAACATTTCTTTCATTTTAATTGCCTACTTAATTATAGCATTGCAACATTATGAAGAAGAGCAATCTTTCGATTTTGATGATTGAGGTTATGAGATAAATTTAGGAAAAAGATTTTTATTACATTTATTTCCTTGTATGAGGTAAGTAAACATTGCAAAAAATTTCAATGAATATTATTTTGACAAAACGTTTTACACGACATCTGCACATACGGAAGAATTAGGACTTTATTTCTTGAAATTTTTTCACATCTGTACATTATGCAAAAATTATTTAAAAATACGAATTTTAAAAATAAGTCAAAAAATGCGCGATTTCCATTTCGAATGAACATAAATGTGAAAAGTGAAAGGAAGAATCAAATAAATTTAATAAAAAATTAAATTTTTTAAAAACTACTCGTGCAATTTTTACCAAATTTGAGTCGTAGAATCAAAATATGAAAAAAAAAAATTATTTCAGAAAAAGTCCCAATTTTGTGTCGTAGATATTTTCAAGTGCAACCACTTTTTTTTTTGTCTAAAGAATTATTACTTTCGTTTCGGCATTTTGTGCCTATAAGTTTCGGTTCACTTTTCAAACAGTTGCCACAAAATGTTCCTGCATTATATTTGAAAAAATTAAATAATAAAAAATGTATGTATACAAGGTGTGTTCGAAAAGTTCAGCGAATTTTACCATAGAAAAAGGGTAACAAGCAAAAAAGCTTTACTGGCCTTCACAGTATTCGCCATTAGCAACAATACACTTTTGACATCGGGTGTACAATTGTTGGATACTGTCTGCAAATGCTTCTTTCGGTATGGCTCGAAGCACCATTGTCACATGTTGTTGGATCTCAGTAATGTCGGAAAAGTGTTGGCCTTTCAGAACAACTTTGAGGCGGGGAAAAAGGAAGAAGTCCGTGGGAGGCAGATCTGGAGAATATGGAGGGTGATCCAGAAAACTGGAACATGGTGCCTGTCGAGGAATTGGGTTAGCAGCGTTGTCATGGAGCAGATTCCACTGTCCATTCCGGTACTGTGGCCGAATCCGGCGTATGCGTAGCAGCAGCCATTTCAAAACCCCCTCATAGTATTCCCCAGTGACGGTTGTAGCCTGCGGGTACAAATTCACGATGGATCAAATCCTTACTGTCAAAAAAGACGATCAACAACGTCTTGATCCGGGATTGTGTCAAACGACTTTTTTGGGAGGGGGTGACGACGTTGAACACCATGCCATGGATTGCCGCTTGGTCTACAGATCGTATTGATAGTACCACGACTCATCTCCTGTAATTATTGTTTCCAAGAATTGCGGATTCCGGTCACACATGTCAATAAAATTTCCAAAGGTTTCCATCTGGTATTGCTTTTGCTCATCTGACAACGAGTGTGGTACAAACCGGGCACATATCTTACGTTTATGCAAATTTTTGTGCACACTGGTGCTCGCACTCTCTTATCTGTAATTTGTCAGCTATCATTCTTAAAGATAGTCGTCACACAAGCATTCGTCGAACTTGTTCCACATTGTCTGGAGTTGTGCTTATTGTAGAGCGCCCCGACCGCAGCTCATCTTTGACATCCTCCTTTCCGTCTGTAAAGCATTTAAACCACTCATAAACACACTTTTTACTCACTGCTTCCTGACCATAAACTTTCACTAACATGTCATGTGTCTCCGTCGCTGTTTTGCCTAGCTTGAAGCAAAATTTTGTTTATGCATTGCTCCATGTCACACTGACTGTGTTAAACTGCTCATAGCGTGCACTTCCTCTTATCTGTTGTAAAATGGCCGTTAGATGGCTGTAGATGACACTTCTCTCACAGCGTCTGCGTGAGTGCAAGATCCTAACCGGCGTGGTTTTTTAATTATGAGACCAATCACCTAACTTTTCAAATACACCTTGTATTTCTCGCATAAAACAACAGTATCTAGAGCCATCCAATTATGAATGACTTAATTGTGAAAATGGGCATCGGAAATGCCAAATTTGAAATTTGTTTTATTGTCGATTTGATATTTTGTAAAATTTAACAAATTTTTTAGTAACAAAACGATTTAAAAGCGAGCAATGGCAACAATTCTACAAGGGGAAAAAATCTCCAGAGCATCGAACTGTGTATCGGAAATTCTAATGATATGCTGATTTAAAAATTATTTAGCGACATTGCTATTGAACTAAATTTTATGGTTTAAGTGCAAAGAACATGATATTTAAATAATTAAAGGTAACACACAAAACGTTAACAAAAAGCCCCTTTGGACGTAATTTAAAATCTGAAACATTTCAGATTTTTTTTTAATTAGACATCTTCTGAAATTCCCCTTTTTTCTGCAAAACTTTTTTTCAAGTTAGAAACTGTCAGTGATGCATGGATCTGTGCAGAGCAAGAATTTCTGCTCTGCAGGTAATGGTTGAAATGTTCTATTGCTTTAATTATGGTTAGCAACTCTAAAGTAAGTAGTCACTTCCTGTCTGAACAATTTACCTTTCTTACCCGACTGGCTTCCTTCAATTTCTGAAGCATCTTCCTAATATTTTTGAATTCCTCTGGAAAACTCTTGTTGGTGATCCCATTCAGGTATATCAAATAGGCTTTGCTGGAGAGACCTCTCAATACGGTCTCCATGACGTTACGAATATTGCCAGAGCATTACATAATATAAACAGCATCACCTTGAACTGAGAGTATCCTTGTCTGTGAGTAAATATCGTTTTTTCTTGGTCATCAGGGTGTATTCTACCTGCCAATATCCACTCTTTAAATTAAAAGTCAAAAACAACTTGCTTTCTGATAGAATGTCTGGAATGCTGTCCACTATAGCAATCCGTCGAGACATTATTCAACCAGAGGTAGTCAACATAAAATGTAGTTAAACCTTCTTTCTGACCAGGATAATGGGAAAGGCCCAAGGACTTGAAGGTTAAAACAGCACTTTCATGAAGATAAAAGAAATCAAAAATTCTCTTACACTTCAAACTGAGCTTGTAATTTATTTTGAATTGCCAGATTTATAATCACTAACAATAACAAATAAGTGACAAACATCTAATTGTTTTGCATCTACTGACCAGCCCAAGTAGCTAAATATGTTGGTAATAAAAACTAGATGGATGACAGGTCTCATTAATAAAATATATAAAAAAGACATTCTAAAACACAATGTACAATGAAAAATCAGTTATTTAGCCAACTGCTGAAAATCAAATTTCTGCATCAGCTTTGAGTTTAATGCCATGGTTAAAAATCATACATTTGAATAATGTTTGCATCCTACAAACTAGATACAAATGTGAAAAACCATTAAATTTTCCCTCTCCAGCCATCTTATTGCCCCCCCCCGATTTTAAGAATAATCACAGATAATAAATTTGTTACACAGGATATCTGTCAGTCATAAAATTTTTTTATTATGATTGCAGAATTTACAGAGAATATCCATATGACCGTAGAATTTTCTCATAAGGTTCAATTCGTTTGGCAACTTTTTGCACTGCCAACTGCTTCAATTTCTGAAAGAAAAATTACAAAACATTAAACCACCAGAGAAATAGTAAACAATAAAATTCCACACAAAGCAAAATGTACATCTTAAGCTTTCCAAAACAATGCCTACTTCCCAAAATACATTTTTTAAAGGGTATAAATACTTGAAAAACTTTTGCATTAAACCAGAATTCTACGCAGTGAAAAATATAGAATAACCATATTGTATAAGCCAAAAATTTTTATAGTAAATTTACTACCAAAGCTTGGGATGTAGGCTCATAAACAAGTTATACAGAGTTGCAAATAAAATAATTCGACTAAAAATATTATAAGTAAAGAAATATTCTTTTATTTAATCCTAATGTACATTAATCAGTAAGCAACTCAGAATTTTCAAAGTGAATGCCACAATTTTCTATTTCTCCTATGCATCACTGTCATGCACCTATAATCTGTATCTTCAGTTCTGACTGCAGCAATGCTCAGTCAAAGTGACAACTTTCAATTTAAATCTAGCAGAACAATGCAGTCCTTTTCTGTTGAAGTGTCTTTCATCATAAAGCAGAAATTAATTGTATTTTACTTGTAAAAACGAATGACTGAAATCTTGCTGTTACCTGAAAATGGTTAATAACTGAAAACAAAAGTAAAATCTGCCACACTAAAGTGGCAAATATTCCACTACCTCTATCGATGACATAAAAAAATCTGATGTGTACACCACATGACTTCCTTGTACGGAATATTAAGTTATACGCATTTTTTCTTGCATTTCATTTAAACTAATTGAATTGAACTAAATCAACTTCGCTGACAACGCATAAACCACAATTAAATAAATGCATTCTTTAAAATTCACTCTAGTATTTGTTTACCATAGCGACACTGGCGCTAGATTCACTTAACGTTGTAATATTTCGTTCATATTATAACTCATAATGCACAAAATTTATATCATTTAAAGAATAGAATTATCTAATCATTGCCACATGTTCTATTCAAATACTATAAATAAAGCTAGAATGATGTATAAAAGAATTTAAGCAAATAAAACAAAAAAGAAACAGTTTTTCACAGACGATTGAGTATTTCTCATTCAATTAATTCAGTTCTCACTTCACAATACATAATAAAATACATAAAAACTCAAAATATCTATATTAAAAATTACGAAGTAAATCTTAAAACACTTATTTCCTCGAAAAAATTCCAGAAAGGATTAAGCATGATTTAATTGGCAATAATAAATGAAGGCGTTATCTTTGTTGTTGCGAAGCTAAGTTTCTCTAGATTGGCAACAAATCCACTAGTCTGCTGTTTCAAATGTAAACAAGCAATTTCCGCCATCAAAAAAATTATTAGGCTTAGTGGCACTTAAACAACTTTAAAATTGTTGATAATTCTAAAAATATCGCATACAGATTTACCAAAGGCATAAAAACCTTAACCGGAAGATAAAAACAACATAATTCAATCATTTTTAAAGCAAAAAATGTACAATTTACAAACATATAAGAGTAAAGAAACTGACATCACTGAGCCTTAACAGAGTGGATATACACTCAAGAGCCAAAACATTATGACCAGCCCTACATTTTGCGATGAACTCGCCTGGATGACGTGGAAGGCACGTGATCAGGTGGAAGTGGTATTTAACTGCTGCTGGAGAGTCTGAAGAATCATTCTTTCACTTACTTCTATCATCGGAGACTGTCTCTCATGGTGAAGCAAAACCGGAGCCAGACTCAGCCGAATACAATGCAAGGCCAAGTAGAAAAGTATCGGAGCACACTGTTCAGTGGACACTGTTGGATATGGGGCTACGCAGCAAACGTCCCACTCGTGTGCCTTTGCTGACCAAGCGTCATCGCCAACTGCGCCTGTGCTGGGCCCGGGAATATCGCGACTGGTCCATGGATCAGTGGGAGAGTGTTGCCTGGTCAGAGGAATCATGGTTGGGCATTCATCATGCCGATGGCAGTGTCAGGATACTCCGTCTTCCAGGCGAACAGTTGCTCCCTCAATGCACAGTAGCACAGGCCGGTGGTCAAGGTATTATGCTCTGGGGGACGTTCTCTTGGGCGTCTCTGGGACCCGTGGTTATGATAGAGCAGACCATGAATGCTACAGCGTATCTGAACATCATTACGGACCAGTTGCACCCTTACATGGCCTCTGTTTTTCCAGCTGGAAATGGAATGTTCCAACAGGACAACGCCCTGTGTCACAAGGTTACAATTGTGTTGGAGTGGTTCCAGGAACATGATGCTGATTTCCAGTTAATGTCCTGGCCGCCTTAACTCACCGGATCTCAATCCGATAGAACACATTTGGGATGTCATGGGACGGCAGCTCAGAGGTCAAAGACCACCAATTTGCAATATCTCGGATTTGGATGACCGTTGCCACAACATCTGGTACAATCTGTCTCCGGCAATCTATCAAGGACTTGTAACATCCATGCCAAGGCGGATTGAAGCTGTGTTGCGCGCCAAAGGTGGCCCAACTTGTTATTGACAGGTGGTCATAATGTTTTGGCTCTTGAGTGTATATATAAATATATTTTTATACGTTTGAAACGGCCGATTGCAACCAAAATACGAGGTGCACATCTACATGTTATAGCAATCCTATATACAAAATTTCAACGTTCTGAGGCTACTCGTTTTTGAGTTATGCGAGATACATACTTTCGCACAGAAGCCACGAAAAATTCTCTTCAGAATTAATTTTAAAGCAGTTTTATAATTTTTTGGAAGAAACGAGTCTTATTCTGTCCTTACATACAGATATCATGCAAAAATATCGTTAAATTGCATTCGATGGCAGTCAAAATGGATATTTTCGTTGAAATATGCTGCCTGAAACTTTTCGCGATTACAACACTTCCTTTTTACTTCGTACAAGGAAGTAAAAAGAAAAAATGAAATGGTGAAACGACTCACAAAATTATTTTTTTAATTCTATTACATTTGTAACCCAATTTTTCAAACATATGTTGAAATCAACTGCCAGTCACCTTTAACTCATCTGAAATATTACCTCTCGGCTTAACTTCAGACATTTGTGGTATCGTACAAAGTCCGGACCTCCAAGCCACACCACCTTTTTTTATGCCCCCCCCGAAAGTCCGATTCTTTATTTCACTTCGGCACTAAATAAAATACCTGATTATTATTGAAGAAACAATCATTTTAGTATAAATTTGTATGCTCAATAATTTGGTGCTGTAGATACATATCTGCTTGGCATACACCTCAAACCGAGACATTCTACATAGATACACCTAATAATATTTTATATCCCCAACGCCAACCTGGCGAATCAATATTTATTATATTTTGCTTCCATCACCGCATGTTTATCAACACATGACAGCTTGAGCAATGAATCATGTTGCAATGCCTAAAAATTTTTTTTATGTTTACTAACATATGACAAACATGTTATAAATCACATATATTATGTGATTTATAACATTGAACAATAAAGCGTATGGTAAACTTTTATGTTGACGAAAAAAATTTAATAACAATTTCTTTCCATGTGGGAAAAAGATTTCGTTAATGATACTCATAGGCCAATAGATTACATTTAGGGCTATTTGAATTAAGAATAACCGATTTGTTATTCACATAAATCCAAAACTAGCACCAAGGCTTGTATGGCAGTACCAGGCGGCGGAATTTAGGCAGGCACTTAGTAGCAGAATTTAGGACCCACAAAGACTGCATTAGGTGATAAGATATCTAGCGCCGACCGCAGAATTTAGGGAAGGCAGGCACTTAGTAGAAGAATTCAGGACCCACAAAGACTGCATCAGGTGATATGTAGTGCCAACCTTCAATAAGTATATGTGAGAATTTATTTATTCAGGACTCGGATAAGCTTTAAACGTGTGCAAAAAATAGAAATAAGTATAATAACTAATACAATTCAGGGCTTAATAGGCTCAGTCCACGATAGAAGAAAGATAAAATTTAGTGGAACAACTTGTCTTTAGTTGCCTATCTCATGATACATAGCCAAATATATACAGTACAAAGTCCGTAATCCGGAGGTCCATTATCCGGACCTCAAAGTTACAAACTTTTTTTTTTGTATCCATTACGTGCCCTATACTTCCACAGTCATAACACCTTGGTTCTTTACTCTTATTATTTATACAAAATAAAGCGTGTGCTTTATTTTGTGTGTTAGTACTTGAATAATCCTTATTCTTCGTATCTGGAATGCAGATTTTCTCATACATTTTAAATTTCTCTTTGAATTCAGAAACAGTTTTACACCCATACAAAATAATTTTGTTACTACTCTGATCCGGTACGCCATTGATTACATAATCCAAAATGGATGAATCATCAACAGAACCGCGACTGGCTATTTTACGAATATTCGGAAAGGGATTCACCCAGTTTTAGTTGTCGTTTAAGTCCACACATAGTCTAAATGAACCGCATTTTTTTCTACTTAGAACAATATTACTTGCATAATCAGAACAGCTTGGCTTAATGATTTGTTTCTCTAACTATTCCAAAATCTGTTTATCAATTTCGCGGCATGCAATGAACTGGAGGTTGATCTGCCTGTGCTATCCTCATCTTCAGGGCAGATGTTTTTATTTTATTCAGCCTATAATTCCTTACTAAATGCAGTATAGTTCGATCGCCTCATCCGCGACCATGCGCCATTCAGACCGTATTATTCTCAAAATAGGGTGGAAAGATGGGGACTTTCTTTTCCTAGCATAGGTCTTTCCGGAGAAGAGAAGACCTTTCATGTCGCAGCAAGTAATACTGCCCCTTTTAGACGAGTCTATGTATTTTGGCAGAATGCCAACCAGGGTTGCGCTTGATACGGTCAAACTATATTTCATCTCGATGTGCTTGCATCTTTGATATGATTTAAATCAATTTCATCATCATTATGAGTATCACGAATACACAAATAGTTTTCTGGTTGCAATTTTCTAGTTTCGACTATGCGTAATGTATGCTTTACACATGCGCGCGTTGAAATATTTAATAAGAGTAAACAAATAAATATTAAGCTTTTTTTGTAAAATTTGATACCCTTTATAGATCATAATTGCTCTTTATTTCATAAATTACAGTTGCATATTTTTAATTTTATAATTTCTGCATGCCATCTTACCAGATTTAAATAGATAATCTATAATTCGGAAAAATCCCTAACCCGGAATCGCCGAAGTCCCGACAAGTCCGGATTACGAACTTTGTACTGTATTGTGAACGATAGCTAAATTTTATGATGACAGCGCAAAATTTAAAGCTTTTAGAATGTTGCAAACCAAAAGTAAAATTTTCCAATTAACGGATCTTGCAAAGAAATGTGGAGGAGCGGTAATAAATGAAGATGATATAAAAGAAGTTTTTCATTGTGATGACAACGCTTCTCAATCAGGCGAGATCTGTAGTATGTTTGGTTCTAGATGAATCATAAATGTAATGTTTCATAAAACTTTTGTTTGTTAATTTTGTTAGCCTTTAGATCATAAATGCTTTATTATTTCATAAATCACAATTTCATATTTTTAATTTTATAATTTCTACATGCCATCTTACTAGATTTAAACTGATCATCCAATATCTAGAAAAATCACAAATCTGAAATCGTGGAAGTCCCGACCAGTCTGGATCTCGGACTTTGTACATTTATACTTTAGAGATACATTTATACTTTAGATTAATGATTCTTTCATTCCTAATACCAAATTTGCCTCAGTTGGTAGTGCATGTTAAAAATTCATCATCAATAATATGTGAATGTGAAGTATCATCATTGGCAATCCTGTATTAACATAAATACGCAGAATACTTTTCATTCTATATCAAATATAAATATTTACAAGCTTCCACATTAAAACTGTAAATTAATGAATTACCACTATATAATTTCACCAATGTACTTGTACATCTTACTGGAACCATAAAATCAAGCTTAAAGTAAATTTTATTATTCCAATAAAATTCAACACTGCAAATTAGGTTAAATCAGTTTCTTAAACTGTGGGCAGCGAGCAGGACCTGCAGTAGAAGGAGGTCGCCAAAAATTTTGATATTTGATTATAATAATTTTATAATTACCAAATATTTTTACATAATGTCTCTGAAAATAGATAAAGACAATACAGACAAAGAACAAAAACATTTAGACGCATTTTTTTAATAATAGAAATGTTCATTTTACTTTAAAAATTACAGTTAATGACCTCAAACTGCCATGGTATATTACAGTACAAGTGAAGAAACAATTTAACTCACGCATGTCAGACAATGCACAGGGGGGGCCCACAAAATTTTCAGAAATATTAGGGGAAGTTAAAGAAACCCTATGTTAAATAAAGGCACTATGTATTGCGCCTTTATACCAACCCTTATACCATGACAAGAAAGAAAACATTATAAAAGCAACTGAATGCTAAAAATGTAAATACCCTGAAAATAATTTTAACTTTAAAGAAAAAAAAACGTGCTTACAGATTCACCGCTGTCTCCATACAAATCCAATGAAATTCCAAAGTTTTGACAAAGATCAAATATCAATAAAGTATAACAAATGCTTTAAAAAATATCATTCAAGATTCAATTTACTAACTTTACAAAGCTTACAGCAGAGCTGACCATCTCTACTATGAAATACTAATGAATCTGTAGGACCCTCATACTGTGAAAAAATGACGGCACTTAGAGGAACCAAATTTTGTCATCTGAACATGTGCACCTCAAAGATAGAAATTTTTTATTTGTTTTTATTCCATATTTTGTACAAATTTATGAATTTGATTTACAAAATGAGCAATTTAAAAGCTAGCTGTGGCAACACAGTCCCCTCCCACAAAATTTTTTTATTTCCAACATACAATACTGTTGCTGTTTGGTAAAACATTATCTTTCAGTTTTAAAGTATGAATGTCCCTTGCACTTCGGAAAAATGTCGACCCTAGACCTACCAAATTTTGAGCACCTGAATACATAAAACTTAGAAGACACAAGTTTATTCCTCCCACCCAGTTTATTTCCTATTTTGTAAAAATTTAAAGATTTTTTTATTAATAAACTCAGTGATTCAGAAGCAAGCAGTGGCAACACTTCGAAATAAAACAATTTTATCTCAAACAACACTGCTGCCAGTTATCAAAATGTAAGATAAGATATTAGTCAATCAATTTTTATCACCAAACTTTTATTTAAAAGCTATGTGTTTCCACTGCCTTGAAATAAAGTACTTTTATCTTGCATGCATCAGTGTGTCACCATTTTTTAAAGCGCAGCTTTTTCAGATTTAACTGCACTAAGGGATTTAAAAGCAATGAACACACTTTTTAATAAATTTCTATTTTTTAATCTGACTGATTTAAATAAAAGTGCATAAAACCATGAGATATCTAATTAGAAATATAAATAATTTTATGAAATTACATTAGCTGGACTCGTTAAATTATACATTTTCCTTTTTCATAACTATTTTAGGTGGCTGGTCACAGAAGCAGCTAGAAATATTAATACAGTACAAAGTCTTTTATCAGAACTCTTTGAGACTTTGGCGATTCCAGATTGTAGATCATCAATTTAAATCTGGTAGGATGGCATGTAGAAATTACAAAATTAAAAATATGAAATCGAAATTTATGAAATAAAGAACAATTATTATCTAAAGGGTATCAAAATTTACGAAAAAAAGCTTAATATTTATTTGTTTACTTTATTAAACATTTCTTTCACTGTTTAATAAAGTAAACAAATAAATGCTTCGTTTTATGTGATAATACTTTCTCTTTAATTCTATAAACAGACACAATTTCTTGTTCAGTTACAAAGTTCCGCTGTTCAAGTCCAGTTAATTGTTGTGCCGAGAATACCGACAAACTTGTCAATCAAAATTTTTTCGTTTTCACTAACCTCTCTGTCACATTCTTCATGTCTTTATCCATTTTTTTTGCAGCAATTCCACTTTTTGTTTGATGGACATCGAAACATACTTTCGTTTTGTACGATCCTTTGGAAGCTCCAGAATCGGAAATTGTATTTTACATAATCAAAAGTTCAAGTTTACTATTATAATATTGCTCTTACAGTCTGCAAAAAATAATAAGCCGGATCCAATTCGAAGATTAAGGAACAACGCAATCATCAACATTAACTGAAATAGATAATTAGCTAATTTTAGATTATACCGTCCGTTATACATAAAACGCGCACGCGAAAATGTATTCTGCGCTTGCGCACATGCATATGCGCAGTGGTAAAAGGTCTTACACGCACACGTAAACGCCTATGCACATGTGTCAACGAGGCGCATGCACAATAAGTTTTTAGCTTTGAAGTCCGGATTATAGATCATTCTGGATTATGGGTGTCCGAATTAACAACTTTTGACTGTATTTATTTGTTTACTTTATTAAACATTTCTTTCAATGTAAGTTGTTTAAGTTGCTTTGTTTTATGTGCTAATACTTTCTCTTTAATTCTATATTCTCTGTTCAAGTCCTGTAATTGCTGTGCCGAGAATACCGACTACTTTGTCAATCGAAAATTTTCGTTTTCACTAACCTCTCTGTCACTTTCTTCATGCCTTTATACATTTTTTGTAGCAATTCTACTTTTTGTTTGATGGACATCGAAACATGCTTTCGCTTTGTAGATGCTTTGTCAGCTCCAGAATCGGAAACTCTTTTTGACATAATCGAAAGTTCAAGCTTACTTTTTTATAAAATGGCTCCAACAATCTGCAAAAAATAATAAGCCGGATCCAATTAGAAGATTAAGGAACAACGCAATCTGCAACATTAAATGAAATAGATAATTTTAGCCTAGCCTACACTGTCCATTATACATTAAACGCGCAACGCATGCGCAGAAATTTTGTAGCCTTGAGGTCCGGATTAAAGACTTTGTACTGTATCAGAAAAATGAATAAAATCATACATTAAAAAGATGAAGTTCTTTTATTTCGAAAAATAATGAATCCGCCAGTGATAGTGCATAGCTTGAAGATGCACTGGGAACCCCTTTGTAATTATATTAGGCAACGAGCTGTACAAGCAATTTTAATATCAGACAAATGAAAGCAATTCATAGAATAACAATAAGGAATTCTCTTATTTCATAAGGAATTACTAAAAAATTATAAATTCACAAGCCTCAGTTGGTAGTGCATGTTAAAATCAACAAAACAAATTATGCTTTTAGAATATATCATCACAGGCTTATGAGAAATACATACTACAAATTCTAATTCAAATGATTTTTTAAACATTTTGACTTAATATGTTCATTGGAGGAAAAACTCATATAGGAATTCAAACAGATAACTATTTGTATGTGGAATGGTGGTGGTAGAGGCATTATTCCTTTGACATGCTCCCCCTGAAACCACCAATTTTCGATTATTTTCCCTTCTTTCCGAAATTTTTGAGTGAAAACAGAGTGATTACTTATCTTTTACCTCTAAATGACACAAAATGACTGCAGAACTATACATTTTTGGGGTCTTAGTTCAAATCAGATACCTTTTAAAATTTGTTTTAATAAGACAAAATAACTTTATTAATAATATAAACCTTTTCACAGCACGACCACTGAGTCACTACAGCATTTGTATCACAATGCTCACACTGCTCTAGAAGTCAGAAGTTCCACTCTGAAAACACTGCTCGTCACAATGGCATTTCCTGCTTTCAAATATAAATGTTTATTTTTACTCGGATATAGATAAGGGTATCTAAAACCACAGTTATTTTATTAATAAACAGTACATGCACCTGCTCAGAGAAAATGTCTTTCATTTTCACAGATTTTTCTCTAAGCTCAACACACTTGCTTCCTATGCTAGTCTTACGAATTTATAAATTATTTTGTATGGTATAAATATAACGTAAATATATTTTGCTATTATAAAAAAAGACACTGTGTAAAAGTTTAATTTAAATTTTAAATATTTTGGGATGAAATAAGAATAAAATACGAATGGAAAACAAAGGATCTGTACCAGAACCAAAAAAAGACTAATCCCCTCCCATTAACAACATAAATAACCACAAACTTCATGTGCCAGATAAAAAGCAACTGAAGAATGCTGTAACGACATGTTCCAGATAAACCAGGTTCCAAGTTCATGTGCCAGATAAAAAGCGACAGTAAAATGCAACTTCCGACAGTGTACGCTAATATTATTAAACAATTATAAAGTAAATTTGAGAATAAAACCAACTTCATGAAATTTATTAAGTAGCATTAAATATTTTACACTTATGATAGTTGGACATATTTGAAAAGAAGATAAGTGGCATTTTATTTACGTTTTATAGCTTTAGGTTGATTTTTTTCTTTTATGTCTCATTTTGTCATGTACTAGCTCAGGTTAACAGCTTTAGGTTGATTTTTTCTTTTATGTCTCATTTTGTCGTGCACTTGCTCAGTTTAGAAGTTTAGTAAATAGCAGGTAGACTTTGTGTTAAACGACGTAGGTTAAAATGAGAAAAAATCATGATCATCATGATTCATAACAGAAGACTGGCTGTTGCCACCGCTGCTGCTTGCCTAGAGAGAAACCTGCTGATCAAGTTTTTAAAGTTATTTCCTGGAGTGGTAACCCAGTTAACATATTTTAAGGTTCCAATAAGCCACTAAAGCACCAGAGATGATAGGATGTTTTGTATCGTGGTAAAGATTAATGAAAGACAACTCATTTTAATATGCAGAGGTAACTTTTAAGGGTGACCAGTTAGTTAAACTAGCTAGTTGGGTATCTTTAGTCATTATAGATTTATATAGCCACTATTAAATTTATTTAAAAAAACATTTGTTAAAAAAGCCCTATTAAAATCAGAATCTATTAACATGTCATAGTTTAAAATGCATGTAATTCATGACACGGAATCTTAAACGATGCTACAATAATTACACTTTAAAAGCTACAAAACATTTACATTTTATAGCAACAATCAAAATATTTATTCACCTTTTTAATTTGAAGCCTTTCCATAAATTCTGGCTAATTTATATCAATTTCTCTTTAAGCATCTTTTCTAACAATTAAAAATTTGTTTCCATATGAAAACCAATATTTCCACTAGTTTCTGCATGTTTTATCTCCTAAATTAACAAACTCTTGACTATGAACATAGGGCTACTTGATCTGATAAAAGTTAAATAGTCCAAAACCCCCCGACAGACTTGAAGCAAATTATAGCTATGTCTAAAAGTAACTCAGAAAGGTTTAAATAAACCTCTTATTCAAAAAAACTTAAAACATTAACAAGTTGTAATAAACTCTTAATTTGTCATAACATAGTTATCGTAATATCGGCAGCAATGACGCAAAGACAAATAAGTACAAATTATCAGAGCTAATGCAGAGTGCAAATGAAGGCCAAAAACAAATTCTGTCTTTACAACCCAAAAACCTTAGTTTAAAAATTGCACAAATTATCAGAGCTAATGCAAATGGAGGCCAAAAACCTTAGTTTAAAGACTATCTTAAGTCATTTGCATTCTGGTGAGGAAATGGGAAAAGGCAATTATAGTAAAGTCTGAAAATTTAAACTGCTTAACTTTTTCTCTCTGTGCTTAACTTTTGGAAGTGAGTGTATGTCAAGCGGCATAGATTAAAATGAGAAGTAAAATCATAATCGGCATGATTCTTAACAAAAGCCTGTATAATAAAATATGCAAGCCTCAGGTGGTAGTGCATGTTAAGTTCAGCAATACAATTAGGTTTGATACAATATCATCATCAGCTTACACAGTGATTATATATATTAATATCTTTGAAAACTCTACACAGTAATTATTTTATCTAGTTAATACCCTACAGACTGATCCCAAATCTATTAACAACTTCTTATTTCAGTATGACCAAACACATACAGTCTAAATTTGCTTTTTTAAAACCAATTTGAATCTTAAAGTATAATAAAATGAAACTTATTCATAAAATATTGTATCATATCAAGAATATTTTCACACTTAAAATAAACAATTCATGTCTTAATTTAATTGTGTTTATACATATGTGAAGTCAAAAGAATGAAAATTATCTGCTTTAGGCACACTATTTATTTGCAATTTCTTCATAACTAAAATATTACTAAAAGTATTCATAACTAAAATTAATACTAAAAGTCAAATTCCATAAAAGCATTTTCATTTCCAATGATTTCCTTTAAACTAAAAACGATGCTATGAATTTAATACTGTGAATACTAAAGATTTCAATATGTTAACCTACTTATATAAAATTCACAACAGATTAATTTCTATGCATACGGCTTGAATCATGTACTAATGTTATAGATGAGTAATTAAAAATTTGATGAAGCCTCAGTTGATAGTGCATGTTTAATTCAGCAAAAAATATTATGCAACTATTATATCATCAGAGGCTTGTAATATTTTTGTAAAACATACAAAGGCATAATCTTCAAGGTTATTCAATTTTGCCAACAAAATAAATACAATTATTACATGTATAGATAAATGTCCCAATAACAGATTATTATAATATTAATATTTTGAGAGTAACATTTTTCAAGCAATCATTCAGAATTCAGTTGACAGTTGTACTTGACAAGTACAGTTGACTTTGAAACATAACACAGATTTAAAATACTAAAAAAAAAATCTGATGTGTACACCACATGACTTCCTTGTACGGAATATTAAATTATATGCATTTTTTCTTGCATTTCGTTTAAACTTATTGGATTTAATTAAATCTACTTTGATGAGAGCGCATAAACCACAATAGAATAAATGCATTCTTTAAAATTCACTCTATTTGTTTACCATAGCGACACTCTGGCGCTAGGAACAAAACAAAAAAGAAACAGTTTTTCACAGATGATTGAGTATTTCTTATTTAATTATGTCATTTCACGACAATGCAAAAATACATAAAAACTCAAAATATATGTATTAAAAATTATTAATTGTTAAAAATTAAATTACTAATTATTAAAAATTAAGTAAATCTTGAACTCTTATTTCCTTAAAAAAATTCCAGAAAGGATTAAGCATGATTTAATTCGCAACAAAAAATGAAGGCACCAAATTATTACGCCAAACTACCATAATAATTTTTAAAAATGCGAGCTGAGCTCATTGATGATGATCGAAATGTATGCATAAAGAAAAAACTAGGTACTGTTCTGTTATTGGGGAGGGGGGCAGATTCAGAAATCTTTGTTGTTGCAAAGCTTAATCTCTCTAGATTGGCAACAAATCCACTACCCTGCTGTTTCAAATGTAAACAAGCAATTTCCGCCATCAAAAAAATTATTCGGCTTAGCGGCACTTAAACAACTTTTAAATTGTTGATAATTCTAAAAATATTGCATACAGATTTACTAAAGGCATAAAAACCTTAACCGGAAGATAAGAACAACATAATTCAATCATTTTTAAAGCAAAAAATGTACAATTTACAAACATATAAGAGTAAAGAAACTGAGATCACTGAGCCGGGTAAGAGTGGATATATTTATAAATATATTTACATACGTTTGGCACGACCGATTGCAACCAAAATACAAGGTGCACATCTACATGTTATAGTAGTCCTATATACAAAATTTCAACATTCTGAGGCTACTCGTTTTTAAGTTATGCGAGATACGAACATACGTCACGAAAAATTCTCTTCAGATTTCATTTTAAAACAGTTTTATAATTTTTTTGGAGGAAAAAGAGTCTTTTATTCTGTCCTTACGTACAGATATCCGCAAAAACATTGTTAAATTGCATTCGAAAGCGGTCAAAATAGATATTTTCGCTGAAATATGCTGCCTGAAACTTTTTGCGAGTACAATACTTCCTTTTTACTTCGTACAAGTAAGTAAAAAGAGAGAAAAAAAAACAAACCTCTAAATTTTCAGCCTTTTACTTACAATTTTTGACAGCATTTTTAGATTTAAATTATTAATTAAAAATAAATAATTTGAGAAATATAATTATTTTTCAAAATACTAAAACTATTACAAATCTTACCTCATCACGTTTCTTTTTGCCATAATAGGCAGCAGCTTTAGCTTTCCTTTTAACTTCTAATGTTGAGATAACATTCTGGTATTTCCAACCAACTTCATGAGACAGTCGACTTAGACTACAGTACTATGAAAGAAACTAATTAAATTAGTACAAGAAAAAATTATGTAGCAATCTATTACTGAAAATATAACAAATTATGCATATAACATTCACATATTACTTGCATATCCTGTCTTTATTCAACATTTTTGTAAACATTTTTGTAAACATGATGACTTAAGGAAAGACATAATTAGCACTTAGTTCTAGGAGAGGGGGCATACATCTTAAAATGGCACAAATTTAATATGAATAAGTACATAGCTGCCAATCCTGAAATGTTAAAAATCGGAATGTTCTCGCACTGTGTGACAACACCTTTTCAAAGGAAATGCAAACTGACTTTAATTCTCTTTGTAATGCATGGTTCAGGTTACTATATGTAATTCAATTCTATTGTTAATTATATTAGCATTTAATTGGACATTGTAAACTTTGTGTTCTTTGATTAATTTTACTTTTTAATTTTCTTTCACTTTTATACTAAAAAAATTCTGAATAGTAAAGGAAAGCTTTTATTTATCAAAGTACTTTTTAAATACGATGAAAATAAAATTAATAATTAATGTACACTGTGCAAAAGAAAGGGACAGTTCTATAGGGCTGATTGATGAAATTAAACTTGCGTTTCTCATTTCTCGAAAACACAACTTAGAATATGTATAACTTTATATATAGCATTGTCCTAGTATAGGTATTGTGACACAATAACGGACTTTTTCTGAAACAACGTGGCTCTTTTTTTTTCTTCAATATCTCGATTTTATGACTCAAGTTATTACACCAAACCTACCATAATAATTTTTAAAAATGCGAGCTGAGCTCATTGATGATGATCGAAATGTATGCATAAAGAAAAAACTAGGTACTGTTCTGTTATTGGGGAGGGGGGCAGATTCAGAAATTTATGAGCGTGTACTAACAATATACTGTAGTTTAAATTGATAAATTAAAATTGAATTAAAGTGAAAAATCTAAAATTCCAATATTTAAAGGCACCCGGGGGGGGGGGGGGGGTCCACAGTATTCACCCTCTGAACAGCCCAGGATTTTAGATCCGTCATGAAAACCGATATTTAAACAGCATTTATTGATTGAATATATATAATTACTTAATTTAGTCTGTATTTTCATAAACTTACAATCATTAAGATAATATTTACATCATTAAAGAAAGTAAGAAAGCAAAATATCTTAAATTATAAGCTAATATATGCCACATAGCAAAACTTCTGATGACTGTATAAAGCCGCCCATAATGCTCAGAGGGTTAAGTAGAATTACTTTGGGAAGCAAATCACATACTAATGCAGTTTTAGAAAGTAAATTTAAATATAAATTTATATTAAATTGCTTTTATTTGTATGTATTAAGTGTGTTATATGAATATTAAATCAAAATATTGATTTGCATATATCGTTTATTTTTTTCCCATGGAGAATTATAAGCTTTCTAACAATTTTAAACTACATCACAATCTTACAATGGAATATGACATTTTGAAACAAATCACACTTTATACCTCATATGCACAGTACAGTACAGTACCTATGAGCCTCAAATTATGGCACTGTTTTTCTTGGGGGGGGGGGCAAAAAAATACTAAAAAAGGAAGTAACACTAACTATACAATTTATTTTTAATGAGAGATTCTGAGAGCAGGTCATATATTCTATTTGTTCTTTCCGAAGCATTCAGGACATAATTATACATTTGCCAATAAACACTATATACTACAAGGTGTGGCTATTAATTTCCAGGACTGCTCAACATCAGAACAGATGATGTGAGAAACGTAATCTTTTAATATGTTTCGAAGTAATCCCCACCTGCCATAATACATTTCTATGCTCTGCTGTATAAGCTGTGGAAACAACTTTTGAAGTCCTCTTTCAGAAGGCTCTTCAATGTCGACCTCACATTCTTTCTGATGTCTTCAACATCCACAAAGTGTGTTCCTTTGATCACAGTTTCGAGTTTGGGAAACAAAAAGAAGTCTGCAGGGGCGAAGTTATGAGAGTATGGCCGATGGTGCAGCTTCTCAATGTCACGTTTGACCAAAAAACGTTTTCACTGGCAACGCAATGTAGGGGCGGGCATTGTAATGCAACGTGACGTCGACATCGAAGAGCCTTCCGAAAGAGGACTTTAAAAGTTTTTTCCACAACTTATACAGCCAAGCACAGAAGTGTATTACGGCAGATAGGGATTACTTTGAAACATATTAAAAGGTTACATTTTTCACATCATCTGTTCTGGTGTTATTAGAGCTGTCCTGAAAATCAATAACCACACCTTGTATTAGTAATTAGCTAAGGACTGCTTAAGTATAACAAACAATAAAAATTTTACATTTTTTAAATTTTGCAACTTTGCTCCATTAACCGATTTATAGCAGAGTTAATTCTTTTAAATCAAAAATACATAAATTCTAATTATGATCAATCACCTCTAATTGTACCATGCTAAACATGTACTAAAACTAGTACTATTTATCAATACATCCATTTCAACATACAGCAGAAATGATGAGTTTTGGCACATTTTCAAGTATACAAATCACACATACACATGTTTGAATACACAGATTTAAAAGCATTATATCCGGCTGTCATTCTGACCAGCATCTGCCTGTAAAAATATAAATATCGGCCATAAATATTTTTCTCATAAAATCTGTTTCTAATAAAATACTTGAATGAAATAGTACCCAGAAGATGTAAAAGACAACCTAACATTTCTATCAATTCTGCATACACAAAATCAGAAAGTACCATAAAATGTTACCTTATTTTAGGAAAAGGTACTTGCAGATCTGGCGGTTTTTAAGTGCCACCAATATACACCTAAAATTTTTATGACAAATCATAAATTAAAACACTTTATTTAAAATCAAAATAGTCAATCGGATTTCGGTGGAAAATGGGGCAATATAGAGTTTAACATAGATTCAAAGCAGTCAAACATAAAATTGTTCTAATTTGTAACAGTTTCATCTGATAAATCAAGATGCTTTTCACAAAACTTAATTGACATCAACTCCTTGCACCAGCAGTATATGAATCTCAAAGTTTAACAAAATTGAATTCTGCTTCCTTCAAACCAGTTGTCTTTTCTAAATCCCACTTGCTGATCACACTGTCTTAAATTACATTTAAAAAACGTATATTTACCAAAATAAAGTTTCATATCATGCGAACTGGTACATTTTCGTTTTTTTTAAAATAAAATATTTTGCTCCTGAAATAATAAATTTGTATCTTCTGTGTTTGGCGAATCCCAAAAACACATTTTCATAGCACTAAAAAATGGATTCAAAAATCAGCAAACAAGGCAAAAAGGATAACTGCGTACGAACAAGAGGATTTCTCTTAATTGGCGCATCAGCACAACTTCTGCTGTGTTGGCGTTAGTACCTATGAAAATTTTGTTTTTTAACTTTGTTTCAAATTACTCAGAAATATCAAATGCATGCTGATGTTATAATTATTGATTATAATACATTTCCAAACAGAATACCTCTCGGTAATGCCAATCAAACTCGAATTCTTAACACACTGAGCTAGGCACCGATATCGCTGTCCTTTATGTTTTGCCGGCAGTGAGTGTGCACTATTTTGTTTTAATCTTTCCCCCCCCCTCCTTTTTGAATGGGACTAAGCTAATGAATGAATCAGCTAATGTACACATATATAAACAGCAAACGCTTGCCCTCCAAGAGACAGTTATTTAGAAGGCATGAAGTGAAGAGATGTTGAGAACAGAAAATTTTGTTTTGTTTAAGAAATATTTATTTGTTTTAAAACTGAAAATGTTCAGATGGGAGAGAGATAGCAATACATCAAGTGAACTATTTTTATAATCAAAATGTCAACATCACTGAGTATTAAGATTGTAGCTGCTGGAAAATGATAATCAGGGTTCATAGCCACATTAAAAATTAAGTGCCTATAAGCACTTTTCAAGCACATTTTGAGAAAAAAAAAAATAAGCACCTGTCTAATTACATTATACACAACTGCATAACCTTAAAATTAGACTTGTAATTTAAAATATGAGAAATACAGTATTTATTAAGAGAGAATAATCATTACTTCAACCATGAAAAAAAAAAATTTTTTTTTTTTAATTTCAAATAACAGTTCAATTTACAGAATTAGTTTACAATGAGAGAAAAAAAACTATGCAGAACTAAACTATATTACAAAATTTAATGATAATATATCAGATGAAAATATAGAAAATAAATAATAAGGCATATTTATTGTATTCGCTTGGAACCTAATAATAAATACAATTTATTTTTCCATTCATATTGATATTTAAATAATTTAAATCTAAATTCTGAATATTTTCTAAATTTTCATTGTATATCAGTTTTTCCTTAACAGATATTGCAAGCAAAGTAATTTAAGTAAAAAAGAGGAAAATTTCTGAAATCAGAAGACAGAAATTTGCTTCATGCAGTCATCCTTTAACAGTAAAAGCTTAACTAACCCTCATACTTGGAAATTGGCGAATATTCGGACAGTCGAGCGTAACTTGAAAAAGAGGAGCGGAGGGGGTAGACTGTAGGCATTCTTTAGACTTTTCCACTAAATAAATGCTTTTGACATTTTGGTATGTGCATCATATAAAAATAAACCAACGGAACTGAAAAATATCCTGCCTAGGAAGCACAGTAAAACTCTTTTAAGTGTTCATAAACAAATCTCGGACTGAACATCAAAATTATTTATCTCTGCAAAATATACCAAACGTTATTGCAATATGTTATTGCACAATACGTTATTGCACAATACGTGCGCCGTAATTCTTCCCTACGTGATATTACGCAACTGGAATCAACAGCAGCCGGTATTGGGAGAATACAGAATTAATAAAGGAAAAGAAAGAGACTTACTAATCTGGGATGTTTCTGATTCTAATTTTCAACAGACTGCGTTAAATTTCCGGAATAGAATCATTCTTCGCTTGGGTTGGTAGACCGCAGAACTTTTAGTCCTATTCAATCCAGATTGGAAAGTGACAAAAAAAAAAAAAGTCCCTTGCTTGTTTTGTAGCAAACTGTAACAGTTTCAATATTCGAGATTTTGCGGAGAAAGGGGAGAACCTCCCAACCTTCGTGCTGTATAATGTATTGGCCAAAAAAATGAAATTATTTTGACTATTCGATTACTTTTCCTTTATTTAAGCCATTTCGAATATTATTCTTTAGAAAGCAAATCTGTGTTAAAACACAACTATTTTGGGAAGTTTCCTATACTTCAGCAGTTCCTGCAACTATATCATTATAAACATTCATACATATGCTCATAACATAAGCAAACGATCATAATAAACACGAATATGAACTGACCAAGCGGAACGAGAATGCAAATTATTAAGATCTTGATAGAAATTCAAACATGTGTAGTATTTGGGTGGAAGAATGCCGAATGTAAAGGAATTTTTTACTGCTTTTGCAATTCTTTGCCCAATAGAACGACGGGCACCTGTCTGTACTCTCCGCACATACCAAAGCTTATGTTAATGCAGAGAAAAGGGGAAAAGCTATTTCCGGGAGTATAATTCACCATCTGACATTCCATATTAGGAAGAAAAGTTGTTTATTTAATTTCGGCTTTGGTGCGGGGAAAAACTGCACATTCATTAAAAAAAAGCACTAAAAACAAAAACATAAGGGCTTTACAGAAAAAGTAAGCACCTATAACGGCCTTTATATTTTATTTTTAAATATAAGGACTTATAAGCACTTATAAGGACTGCTACAAACCCTGATAATTCATTCGAGCAGGCATGGAACATAACAATGACAACTGAGGCATAAGTGCTAAAGAAATCGACAACCAAAATTCTTGATTTGATCTAAAAGGCAATCAGCCAAATATTGTGCCTTTTAAAAAAATGCCTACGGGGTAAAAAACAGAAAATAAGTTTTAGTAAACTTCTTTGAAATTAAAAACATTTTTTTTTAAATATTTGACATCCACACCTAGAGGGCAATGCAAGTTCAGTGTGTTAAATAAATGTTCATTGCAAAATTTCAAAATTTATATGGTAGTTTCAAGGAAGATAGCATTTTACTCAAATTATATATTGGTCCAAATACATGTCTAGTCAAGTTCCATCATTGCTTATAATTTTTTTATATTGAATATGAGTTATGATAATCATCCATTTCCTAAAAGAAAATCTTACTTTTCTTCGAGGATGTAACTTCAGGACCCTAAGAGCAGATGGTACTACCATACGCTTCTTTTTATCATATGGGGGAGGAATTCCTTCATACACCTTCAAACGTTCTAAAGCAGCATCACCTCTCTTTGTTTTGTGAGGAAGCATACCTCTTACAGTTCGCCAGAAAATTTTACTTGGTGCTCGAAAATGAAACGGTCCTCTTGCCGGATTCACATTACAACGTTTTCGCAAGAAAGAAAGATATTTCACTGAAAGAAAAGAATAAAATTTAAAAAGACTAAAGATTATACTACAGTATATTGCATTATGCATTAGTAATTAAGAGAGCAGTATGCTTAATTCAGAAACATTTTATTACATTTATATCGCAAAATTTTACAACAGAACAGGCCATTTGGTAAATGTATATTTACGGGTACCCCTTGGTGAAAATTGGTGATTTCTAGTGGTACATGGATACCAAATTTGTGCAATTCTTTGACTTTATTTTGGCTTTGCGTAACGGCGATTTTTGGCGAAACCCGGTAAAATACGAGGGCTATCCAGAAAGTAGATTACGTTTTGGAATAAAAAAATAAACAAAGTATACGAAACAAATTTTATTATATACAGATGAAAGCCACACTCAAATACTACTTTTCTACATAGTCACCATACAAATTAAGGCATTTATCGTAGCGATGTACGAGCTTGGAAATTCCTTCGTCAAAAAATTTGGCCGCCTGCGCCTTCAACCACTTCGTTACCTCTTCTTGCCTTCCATCTTGCACAAAACTTGTGGTAACCAAGCTTTTCGCTGATGATTTTGTGCAACAAACTTCGCGAAATTTGTGGAAAACTCAAAGAAAGTTCCGTTATTGTGAAATTTCGATTTTCACGGACTTTAGCATCGACTTTTTCGAGAAGTTCGGCGGTCACTATGCTGGGTCTCCCACTTCGATCTTCGTCGTGAAACATTGGTTCGGCCATTTTGAAATCTTATGACCCACTGATGCACTCTCCACCTTCAGTGATAATGTTGTCCCCATACACTTCACGAAGCTGCCGATAGATTTCTATCGGTTTACAGTTTTTTGCAGTCAGAAACCTTATTACTGAGCGCATCTCGCAGCTCGCGGGATTTTCAATTAACGCAGACATTTCAAACCGTCACAGTATCTGAACGGAGCACAGCACGAACCTCTCACTAGCACGGCTAGATGCAGACTGAGCTGCGCAACGCTCTGACCCCAAGATGGCCGCGCTAGCTCCGCCCCTAGCGGACACAGACGGAAACGTAATCTACTTCCTGGATGGCCCTCGTATTTCGTTCAATTACATTCAACAAAGTTTCTTTCCTTCTGTCCTTAACAACTTCAAAAAAAAAAAAAAATTCTCGTCCCTTGTTCTATTCCATCAAACACCCACTTTATTATACTTCTGCTTCCCACATTTACTTTCATCTACTTCAACGTCTCCCTCAACCTCAATCTTTTCACCTTTCTGAAGACAAATAATCCATGTAACATCTCTACAAAAAATTTTCCAATCCGTTACCGTCTTATTATTGTTAATATTCAATTCAGTCTTGATGATTTTCAAGTTCACTTCGTAGACCCAGAACTACGTAAAAATCAAAATATCAATCATACTCAAACGACTTTTTCAAGCCACGTTCGCTTTCTGATCAAAAGCTTGATATAGTGACCATCTGAACCTAAAGCTTGATATAGTGACCATCTGAAACCTTTCTTCTAATAATAATAAGTCCATTTAAATCCATCTGAACGGTCTTTATGTTCGACCAGACACATTTCCTTCATAGAGGATACTTATAATGCATACTAAGTAAAACATTTACACACCAGTCAATTAATGCTCTTTTTCCCTTTTATTCCCAATCATACAGAAACTTCAAATTAATCTTATTACATTCAGCCATTCTACCGTCTAAACAACAAAACAAGCAATGTACTTGCACCACAAGCAACAACACACACCACAAGCCCTTACAAAGCATCCCATAATCCAAAATTTACTGCAATCATGTAACTGATTATGTCATAATAGGGTTTCCATAACATTCAACTACTCAGCTTACCATAAATGAAGCAACAATTTTGCAATAATACAAGGGGTACCTTTCAGTCTACTCTAACCGGACATTTTACCTAAGCTCTTGAGATTTGGTAAAATTTTTACAACTAAGTAACTGCCAGAAAAATAAATAAATAAATAAATAAAACCCCAGCTTGACAGCAAACTGCATCTTTTATTTTCACTTTATGAATATTTCACATTGACATTTTCTGAAAATAATCTTTTTATGCAAGTTAAAAACTGTCATACAATTAACAGTATCAGAAAGCACACTTTAGCCTTAATCAGGGTTTATACACACTTTTAAGGATCTTTATAATGACCATCGATGAAAAAAATTAAGGACCTAATAGAAAATAGGAACTGAATCAACTAAACGTGATTATGTACACCCGAACTTCACTTATGCAATTTGTTACAATAAATCTGGAATTAGGATGCATTATTATTAAACCTAATCTAATATTTAATGTTGCCAGTCTTACATATTTTATAAGTAATTTTTTATTTAAATTTTACTAACAATTACCTTTACATTAATGCTTTCTTTTATGCCTCATTTTATCATATATTCACTCAGTCCAAAGGTTTATGCAGATTTTATGTTTGGCATAAGATAATTGAGAAATAGAAGATAATTGAGAAATAGAAGATAATAATCAGCATGACTCCTAACAGAAGCCTGGTTGCCTTTGGCTGCTTGGTTAGAAACAGTGAGCCACTGATTAAAACAGATGTAAATGCTTGACACTGCACCAGAAGTGACAAGTTGTTTTGTATTACTGTCTTATTAGCTGTCAAGAATAAAGTTTTATGTTAATTTTTACACTTTTGTGTTTCATCTTACATCCACATTATGGATTAAGGAAAGGTGATAACTCACCATAACATGCAGATATATGGGTTTACAAATTATTAAATCATGTAGTTAAATAGTTACAATTACAATTTTTTTTAACTTGTAAAAATTATTCTTTGAAAAAGCACTAAGAACATTTTACAGTAATTTATTAATTCTAAAGCTACAAAATATTTATGTTGTGCAGCAACAAAAAAAGCAATAAATATTAAAACGTCTTTTTAATTTGAAAAATTTCCAGATATTTTAGCTAATTTCCTTCTCTTTAGCATCTTTTCTAAGCTTATTTGTTTCAATATAAATAAATCAATGTTCCCACTAGTCTCAGTTCTATCTCCTAATTCTATTTCTGTTATTCTAAAGAACTGCTTGTACTGAATGCACAGAAGAAACTGCCAATTTTGTATTTCTTTAATAATATGAGTATTGAGAATAAATATGAAATAATATAAATGCCAGCACCAGTGTGGCAGAACTTTTAATATCGTATTTCTTTAATAATACGAGTATTGAGAATAAATATGAAATAACAGCCAGCTCCAGTGTGGCAGAATTTTTTAAATTTAGTGAAGCATCGAGCAGCAAAATTTAGGAATGATAAAAATTATAGAATTTAGGGCAAGCACTGAAATATGTATGGTGCACTGTGACATGCAAGATCAATTTTTTAATAAAATGGTGTTTTTCAATTTCTTTCAGGGTTCGTAGCCACATTTTAGTTAAAAAAATAAGCACCTATGTTACAGTTTATGTAGCTGGCCACGAGAGGGCGCAGCGTTTTTTACTTTTAGCTTGTTATATTTTTCTTACCACATTGCGGATTTTCTAGATAGATGTAGTGGCAACCAGAAAAACATGATGAATGTTCTAATGTAAGCATACATTTCTTGTACATAGCTGTAAATAAAGCTTTTGTGTGATAAAAAAGAAAAGGAATTCCAAGCGTTCCTGTGGATATTCATTAAGAAAGGTAAGCAAAATTTCACTTATCGATGTTATTAAATGTAAATAATAAGAATAAGAAAAAAGATCATAAGTTGCAACATGGTGCCGAAATTCCGAGATAACAGTGATCTTTAGATATATTGTGATTTAAGTATTTATTATTGTTTGATTAGTGATTGAATATTGATTATTAAGATGGATAAGTTAAAAGCACTAAAAAAGTAGCAACTTTTATTTTCAAATTTATTATCATGTAAAATAGTATTATGCCTTAATGAACATAAATCACAGCGTATATTATTCAGAGCAACCTGTAGCCCCTTTTTACTAGCAGCAACTATAAAGCATCACGCAAGAAAGTTGAAGAGCTGGAAACAGTTTTAATTGAAATTGAGGCGATATTGAATTTGCGTCCACTGACGTATGTTTATAGTGAAGTTGGAGAACCAGAACCGCTGACGCCAGCTCATTTTCTAGTTGGACGAAGACTGACATCCTTACCATCTGGCAAAATTCTTGAACCTGATTCAACTAAAGAAAATTTAACAAGGCGATATAAATACCGGCTAAGGTTATTAGAAGGTTTTGGGAAAAGATGGAAAAGAGAATACTTACTTGAAATTAGAAACTTAAAGCAAATTCAGAGAGGTAATGCTGTAACAGATCTTTTGAAGGGATCTATAGTTTTAGTACATGAGGAAAAACTACCGAGATTATTATGGAAGATGGGAGTTGTACAGGAGTGTCATCCAGGACGAGATGGGAAAATAAGGGCTTGCACTGTCCGTTTAGCTAATGGAACTCATCTTCGTCGTCCTGTGCAGTTATTGTACCCATTAGAAATGACTTGAACTCTTTGAACTGAATACAATGAACTTAAATTGCGAACACTGCATCTATGAACATTTAAACTTGTAGAACATTAAAAACATTTAGTGTTTAAGATAACTTCAGAATCCAATCCTTTGATGAACCAAGAGTTCATCGAGGGGGAGGATGTTACAGTTTATGTAGCTGGCCACGAGAGGGCGCAGCGTTTTTTACTTTTAGCTTGTTATATTTTTCTTACCGCATTGCGGATTTTTGAGATAGATGTAGTGGCAACCAGAAAAACATGATGAATGTTCTAATGTAAGCATACATTTCTTGTACATAGCTGTAAATAAAGCTTTTGTGTGATAAAAAAGAAAAGGAATTCCAAGCGTTCCTGTGGATATTCATTAAGAAAGGTAAGCAAAATTTCACTTATCGATGTTATTAAATGTAAATAATAAGAATAAGAAAAAAGATCATAAGTTGCAACAACCTATAAGCACTTTTCAAGCACATTTTAAGGAAAAAATAAGCATCCGTCTAATTACATTA